TAAAAAAAATTATAAAATAGATAAAACTAAAGTTATAATGTTTCGCAAGGTTTTAATAATAATAAACTAAATTTAACAATGAGGTAAACTACCTGGTAACTAGGAAATCTTTAGATGAGATTTGCTTTTTTGACATGCCTACATTAATAACTAAATATAACTAAAAATAAATGGGGTAGCACCGAGAACAAAAGTGTGGACGGCAAGCAATCACAATAGGAACAGTCACATGCTAAATCATGCGCGAGCATCGGTCACGCGGCGCACGCACATTCCAGCTCTATTTCTTTACATAATAAGACCGGAGGTCGCGCGACACGATGGCCAACACTCGCGCACCTGCGTGGGCCACTGCCAACCTGTTATTCATCTTACTCAAAAAACAAGTGATGGGGTAATTTGTATCTGTTGTATTAATTATCGATGTAAGATAAATTTTTCTTCTGCATTTTACAAAGGTTGTTAATATATTAATTTTTACTATGTCGGTTGTTATGTAAATAGAATTTCTTAGATAATTTGTATATAAACTCGTAAATAGCGGGAAACTAAATTTTAATGTGCAATTTTAGGAGGTTTGTTCGAAACGGATATTGCGTATTCTAATGCTTTGTTTTGAAAAACTTGTAGGCTTTTTAAGTTAGTACTGCACGTACTGCTTCATACTGGGCTGGCATAGGTTATGCAGGGGTCGTACTAAGGTGCGATATACACTTAGCTTAGTGTTGCTACTGAGGCACGATCTTCTATTTAAGATGGGGCCCAGTGCATTCAAAGCCTTCATGCTCTTGAGCCTGAAGTGTTCGTGTTAAGGGTCCAGTTGAGTTTATTGCCCAATATGACACCTAAGTACCTACCTACTAAACAGAGCGACTCCATGGAATCGCATATCCTTTAATATTGAGGGTATGAGTAGGCAGCACCTAGTCCCGGAGAACATAATTGCATCTGTTTTAGAGGCGTAAATTTTTAATTTCCACTTCCTGATAAAGGTTGTCAATAAATCGAGTGAAAGTTGGAGGCGACTTATCATCAAATCCAGGTCTTTGGAGGAAGTAAACGATTCCGTATCATCGGCAAAACAGGCGAGATTGGTGCGTGTTTGTAAGTGTATATCATAAAGGTATAGTAAAAAGAGCTGGGGGCCAAGAATTGAACCTTGGGGGACTCCAGCTGGGACTAATTTAGGTGAAGAGAGTGTACTATTTATGTGCACCTAGAAAGATCTATGGGTTAAGTACGATTTCATTATATTGCTATAAGTACCCCAATTTAGCAGTTTGTGGATAAGGGCTTGGTGCCAGACTGTGTCAAAGGCTTTCTCAATATCTAGGAGAAACATGCCTGTAGACTCACGCAAAATGAGTCCACGAGACACAGTCTCAGCTACTCTAGCGAGCTGTTGGGTGGATGAATGAGCTTCACGGAAGCCAAACTTCTCATCAATTATTATGTGTTTAGTAGCACGTCGAAGTCGGTTGCATAAAATCTTTTCAAAAAGTTTGCCTAGGATAAGAGGCTAATTGGGTGATAAACTACAGGATCAGATGGGTCTTTGCCCGGCTTGTATAGCTATGAATTTTGCTATTTTAGAATCCTTAGGGATATTATATGGAGTCAGTAAGCAGGCATTAAATAATTTTGTTAGCAACACAATACATTTTTGGGATAGTCGTTTGATTAGGTGATTCGAGATTTCATCCGGTCCAGCTGCTTTACGAGTTTTGAGTGAAGATATAAAATTGGCTACTTCAGCTGATTTAACCAGTTGAATTTGATAACCGTCTTGCTGCTCATCGCTGATCCAGTTTTGGGTGAGCAACATGTTGGGAGAAGAGGTATTAGCTAAAACTTCACACTGTTCCTTAACATTTAAAGTTGTGGAACCGTCTTTAGTTTTAAGATGGGGGAGAAATTGATTTCAGCCCTTAGGCAATGCGCCATATATCGGCACAAGAATTGTCAACTTTTCTAAGTTTGCGATCCCACAGGTTGTCACGGTGGTTTATTAAAGCAGCATTAATATCTTGTTGAAGGTATTTCACTTCAAGCTTTATAAGTTTACGAGTTACAGCATTCGTTACTTTAGCAGAATAACGTCGAAAAAGATTTTATTTCTTATTTTTCTTTTAGTGATGTCTCCCAAGGTTTAAAGGTTGTTACCGGGATATTGACGTTTTTAGCAGAAATTATAGAACTTTGAAGGTTTGAGATGGCGAAGTCATGAATATCAGGAGATTTAAAGGTCGCTTTGTGTAAAGATATATTTTCATTTAAATATAAGCGGTAACCATTCCAGTCTGCCCTTTATTTATATATTTGCCCGTAATTTAACTTAAGAATGGGCCAGGACCAGGTGACCAATAAGGGTGCCTAGCATTGAGATCACCCATAATTAGTATTTTATTATCTGAAGAAAATAGGGCGTTTAAGTCACTAGGGAGCAAGGGCATATTGGGTGACTGGTAAACGGAATGGTTGGTAATTTTGCCGTGGTTAAAATAAAGGGTTTCGGTTTCCACACGATGTTTTCCTTCAATGTTAAATGCGCACATAGAAAGAAAGTCCAGTGGTGCACAGCCGGGAATCGATCCAAGCTCAGGGATAAGAGACCGGTACTAAAACGTTACAGTGGAGCAGACAGAATATTCTTCAAAGATTACATTGACAGATTCGGCATGATTTATCATAAATCAGGTTGTTATACGACTCTTAGCCCGAATAAATTTGTTTATATTTGAATGGTAAAATCCCTTTTTCCTTAAGGAAAATGCTTGAGATACAAAAGCATTCGCCAGAATTTTATTTCCCTCTTCGCTTTCACAGTCAAAGTGTTTTATTTTCGTTCGAATAGCGATTACATGAAACAACTTGTTAAAAGGTAATATGTTATGGATCACTTGATAGGAAAAATGCAATAAAAGGTATCATTAGGTTTACAACTGGCGGACTATATAATAATAATAAATACAAAAAAATCCTTTTATTTCAGGTACAACACAAACACATCATCATATGTGTGCCCGTTTTTGGCAAAGGCCTCCTCTAAATCCTGCCATTCCTGTCTGCACTGTGATACTCTCTGCTCTGTACCTGCTGCTTCCTTCACCTGGCCTTTTTTATGTTACAGCAAGGCAAACAGGCAGGAGGATCACCTGATGTTAAGTGTTACCGCCCATGGACACTCACATTGCCAGAGAGCTCGCAAGTGCATTGCCGGACTTTTATGAATTGGTACGGTCTTGAAGGACCCTACGTCAACTTGGTTCGGAAATACTTCAGTGGGCAGCTGGTTCCACATAGTTGTGTTGCGCGGTTAGTTTTTATTTCCATACATTGTTATGTGTGCCCTTTTTGAGTTTTCGCTGAGGATAATAATATTAATAAAATTGGATACCTGAGCGAGTAAAATGGGCAAAAAGTAAAAAATCATTTCATCATGTAGGTAACATAATGTACACTTCTGACTTGTCAGTAAAGAAATACATATTAATGCTTCTAATTTAGGTAGGAACGGTCAATCAAAAGAAATATATATGAAATGCTTCTAATTTTACATTTACTGCCAGTTCTCAAATCAAGGGTGTAGAACGGAAAAGAAGAACTGGCAATAAACTCTCCACCACTCTTTTTAATCGCCATTTTTTTTACACAACGTTTGTAAAGAGCTGCAACCATTACACCATGTTCCACATGACATATTAAGTAATTAATAATAATAACATAAATTAAAAAAAAATACAAAGACTTGTCCTCTATCAGCAGGAGGCATGGTACACACAGTACCTTCTACAATTTATGTGCCTGATGAATTTGTTTTGTAAAATAAATATTTTATTAAAATAATAAAAAAAATAATTAATAATTATAAATGAACAAAAAGTTAAATTTAAGTAAAATTAAAACGAATTTAAAAAATTAGATCCCTGTGGCAGTGTACCTTGGACGCTGGCAGCATTTTCTCGCTGTATTGCGATACCTATTAGTTGAGCGAGGAAAGCACCAGCTCTGGGGTCACCGGTACCATCTATCAGGCACCAACTTAAATCTTTAACAGCCCAAGAGTTTCTACTCCAAAGGGAACAATATCTAAGTTGATTTTGTTAATTGTTGAAAGTTAATTATTCTTATTATAACTAATTGAAAATACTGTATATTTGATTGTTATGATTACTAAAAAACATAAATTAATATTTTAATAGACCCAAATCCTATTTTCATACTTCCGTTTTGTATTGTTAGTTATCGTACAATAAATATATTTTATTTTTAAGATATTTCTTTATGTGTTTCTTATTGAGGAAATTGGATGCGAAATGCTGTTTCCCTAATATAAAGGAAATAACGAAATATCTTTTTGTAAAACTAAATTTTATAAATAAATACTATATTTAAAACGTCTTATCTTTATTTGTTAGGGACTTCACAATCGCCTTTAGTTTAAATTAATTACGTTGAGGTCATTGTTTATATATCTCAAGGGAATCACCGCTTTATAAACCGCTCGGTTTCTATAAACAAATTATCAATCGTAATTGTTACGGACAGTTACGTCGTTGGCAGCCGCCAAACGTTTAGGGCAGAGGCAGTTGTTTCCAAGCAAAGCTGGAAGGGTGGTATCACGTGATCAGCCTCTTGTGCTTTACAACCCGTAATAACGATTGTTTTTACGGGAATGGAATCTGGAGCATTAATCTTGTAAAATACTCGTTACAAGGGACATTACATACAAGACTCTCGAGTGCGTTGCCGGCATGCGTACGCTACTTCTTGAACGACAACGTCGTATTGGTTCCTTAAGAGGCATCTCATTCCTTAGTCGTAGTGCACGTCAGAAATTTAATCAAACCCAGGAACGTGAGGCAGTATTTAATATAAGACTCAGATGTATTCATTCAGTGATTTTTATGAGCGACGCGTGCGCAGTCACATCGTTACAAAAATAATTTTAAATTGAATTTAAAATTGCGGATATTTTGTGTTAGTATTAACAGTGCACAATGGTGAGCAAGAAATATAACGTGAATGATAAAGATAGAAAAACTGGAAGCAAACACAACCAAATACTTATGTCCATAGTCGGTAAGTCAAAGGACAAGTAAATATTTAAAAGTGTGTGTTACGGTATGGTGACCAACAATACTCATTTACTGAGTTTTGTACTCTTTTTTCGCAAACCGTACTCTTTTTAAATCGTGTACTCTGAAAGTACTCATTTGTATAATTTAGTTTTAAAAGAAATTTCCTTATGTGGTCCAGGCACTAATACTTCTCTTGTAAGGGTATTTTCACTAGGGAATGATTATTGGAGCAGTGAGAAGTCGCAACTTTCTGTAAAAACATTATCTGCCGTCTTAACAGTCAAATATAATTGCAAAAAGAAAGTTCGGATGTGGCTACAATATTGGACGAACCTCCTCATTTGGCAAAAAAATCCACTCCTAAGAAAAATATGTTCTTTTTTTTTCACCTATGAAATACTTGCAAAGTGTACTCTTTTTGAACAAAAAATAGTTCGCCACTTATGTAGATAGTCTATCTTTTCCTTGTAACTTGAGTCTTTTCACAAGAAATTTTCTTCCCTCGACCTCCATTGCTTAAAGATAGAGTATTGATACTCACCCGTAACGCAGCTACTAAAATGTCCATTAGCGGCGATGACTGCTATTTTTGGGCGTCCTGTAAACTTGTTATCCCCCTTATTCCATAAAAAAAATCTTTATACTTCTCTGAACACAAAATAATTTTTAAATTGTTTCATTTAATATATAAGGTATTTCTCCATTAACATAATCCTTTGAAAAATACATTTATGTCTCACATTTCATCTCTATAGATCTGTCAAGACATAGATTCGGATTATATTCCTTACAATCTGTTCTTTGGTAGATAGAAAAAAAAAATAAACTGTGGTTTCAAAGTGAATTTTTAACTATTAATTAAGTATCCAAATATTACAATAAAAATATTTATTTCGCTATTTTCCAACTATTTAATATATTATTTCGTCATACTGCCTAAAACGTACGTCTGTTACGTCATAAAAGTCATATACAACGCAAAACATATTATTATTTAAACCATCAGTTAAGATAAGCTTTTGATATATTTATTAAAGTTTACATACATAACGCCACATCTACAGTATATGTTATAAACTATCTTTTCTAAAATATATGATAATTATAGTAATAACAATAAAAATACAATAATAACTACTTCCAGTTTTAGATTTTATTAGTAATTTTAATTAGCAAAATAATGCTAGTAAAACAGCAGATTAGAAAGATAGGCACTAGAAAATGCTTTTTTAAATTGATCAGCCCACTACCGAATATGTCAAGCAATTGATCAAACGCTCTTTATGTTTATCATATTAGATACCAATTCTTAATTCGTAAAACTAATTATAATTATTTGCTGCCAGCATTAAACAGTGCCACAGGGACCAAACTTTTTAAGTGCTTTAATTTTCTAGTTATCAATTTAATTATTATAATTATATATGTTAAAAATATTGTGTGTAATAATAATTATTAGTTTTTCTTGTCTAATAATGCGTCCTCGTTTGTGAAATGTTTCAATTGACGCGTTGCCAAATTATCCCAAATAATATTAACACGTGCTTTTCTAAATATGGATTAGATGATGCAATTAACTTTATAGATAATTCAAGGTCTATATGAAATACAATTTATCAAAAAAAATTAAAAATAAATCAGTAGGGCGCAAGTTCAAATATATTGTTACGAAGACGGGTTGACTGAAATGTGTCTCGATTTTTCCACAAGCTAGAGACGTTTTCAGTTAGCTGTAAGCTGTAACGTGATTTATGGCCGTTTCAAGAGAGGCTCTATCACATATCTGCAATTTGTAATTATCAAAATGTTACCATAGTTTTAGGCTGAAACATTTTTTTCAGTCAGTTTCAGAACGTGTGTAGTCAAGTGGTACAGTATTTAGGAAACTCGTTTTCAGGCGTTTTCAGGACTAGTAATATTCCTTCATCAAAGGGGTTCCCTTTGATGAAGGAATATTCTAGACCGAATTTTCTGGTGACGAAATAATACGCGAGATTGAGGGAAGATCCCGTCTCGAAGCCAGACTGAACACTCTAGAACGCCGTCCGACAAGGACGGAGCAATGTGCGAAAGAGATAATGACGAACGTTCTAGAATTGTTTAATTGCTACTCAGTAGCAATCCTGCCTAGAAAGTTCTCAAACATCGTTCAAGATTATTCCACAGGGATATATAAGCCGAATCGCGACCAATTAAGTCAGATAACAGTGAAGTGCGAATAGTTAAGACAAGTGAAAAGTACTGTGTGAAGTGCGTGTATTTGAAGTATCTAGTGACCGTATTTTGTGTGTGATAGTGTATTTGTGTGCGTAATTTCCTTTTTTTTGTAAACAAATTCCTCACTGATTTATTTAGAAATAAACCCGTGGAGAGATCTACGGCATTTTCTATCCGATCCCCTTGTTCGTAATATGTTAAATGAAAGATGCGGAAAGGACCACTGAAGAGAAAAAAAAAGACTAGCTCTGAAGCCGTGCTCACTAAATCCTCGCCACCTAAAAGATTTAAAACATGAGCTTATGGCTAAGATAACATTAGGGGTAGTGGTGTTGCGACGTAAACAAAAACTAACTTGTCTAAGGGTTCATTAATCTAAGTGAAACTTCAGTACAATATCAGTCGACCTTTTTGGAGATTATCGGAAACAAGAATGTTGTATTACAATTTATGAGTGTGGAAGAAACTAAATGACTCATATTGGCTTCAAGTGTGCGATAGTTGTTTACATTTTGTAATTATTACGTTTCTAATTATTATATAAGTAACTTATGTTAGGTTACATTACTAGCGCTACATCCTTTTTAGGTCTGGGCATCAGATTTCTGTTTCATGATCATGTGTCAATCTAATAGACAGGTAGGATCAGCCTCTTGTGCCTGACTCATGCCGACTTTTTGGGTCTAAGGCAAGCCGGTTTCCTCGCGATGTTTTCCTTCACTATTCAAGCCAATATTAAATGTGCACTTAGAAAGTCCATTTGTGCACAGCCGGGGATCGAACCTACGACCTCAGGGTTGGGAATCGCACGCTGCAGCCACTCATCCAACACTGCTTTGTAAACTGTAATTCATGAATATGAATTCATAAACCTATGGATATCTGAAACCAAAGAACAACTAGAAAATAAATAATGCCCATTAATTAACTAATAGTTGCATCTGTATTTTCATTATATTTTTTAATAGAACTGGGGGTGAACGGGCAGGAGGCTCATCTGTTGTTAAGTAATACTGCCGGCCATGGACTTTCATTGCCAGAGGGCTCGCAAATGCTTTTTTAATACAGTTGCTCAAAAAGTGGCGTATTGCAGGGACGTATAGCGTTCGGGATGTGGGCTATTACACACTCGTGCTTTTTTTTACCATTTCCGAACTAGTGCGTTTTCTTTCCCAACTGTCAAAATAATGTCTATTAAAAAGAAAAAAACCAACCACAAGTTTTTACTAAAAAAATTCATAGAAATTTTTATGATTCATGCAAATATTTCTAAAAAGAAGCTACTTTGTTTCAATATCAGATTTAATGATTTGATTTAATGAGTTAGGTTAGATTTCATTTCATCTCATTAAATTTAATTTCATATCAATAAAAAATTGTACTGAAGACTTGGCTGTATGGGCATAGTTCTCTTTGCCTACCCAGAATGGGTGAAGAAAAAAAAAATCTGCTTATATTCTTTTACGGTTGGCGCCATTTTCCAAAAATGTTCTTTGTGCGTTTAGTTGTTTGTTATATTATATATTAAATATACATGAACAATCATACGAAATTAATAATATATAGTTTGTCTTAAACAGTAAATAAATATGCAACCTAAAACTTCTCCAGTTAGTATAAAAAACTGTACCAATGTATATGTGAACAATAATTTGTATAAGAAATAAATGATTAGTGAGTTGAGTTTATTGATTTTTATTATTTTATTAAATTGCATAATTTTTTTCGCAACTGTATTAAAAATAGTTGTTCAGTACACGTGCGGAACCGTCATTGCAACTTGTTCCGACTGTCAACCCTCACCTTCGGCTGCGCCTCGGCTCGGGTAGACATTTGTCGAAACTCTTTGCAATGACAGGCTTTCTGCACTTGTAATGAAATATACTATTCCGGCATTTTAAGAATTTGTACGCTCACTTCTTGAAGGACCCTAAGTCGAATTGGTTCGGAAATACTTCAGTGGGCAGCTGGTTTTACGCAATTGTTTTAGCCTTATAGAAATCTGTAGAAGCAAGACCATGGTAATCTATGGTAACTAGACCATAGATGCTTGTTTAAGTGTGCACGTGTGCACCTAGTTAAGGAGTGGTAGGAAATTAAACATTAATCGGTAGCTAATATTTTATTGCGCGCGGGAACAACGACCGAAGCTACGAATTGTACGCTACACACTGTCGCTATACAAAACGTGTGGTGTATATACACCCTAACAATATTCCCCCCTTATTAGGAAAAACCATAATGGGTAAGAGCCCAATATTTCCTTGGATGACAGGACAGGTCGCAGGCTGCAATTTCCCCGTACTAGACTATCTAAAGTTAGTCATTCTTTTTTGGTAAAAGGGATACTCTTCTTTAATAAAATCCCAGAGGCTCTTTTATCTCTGCCTTTTAATAAATTTGTTGTTTGATGATTTGCTATTTTAAAAGAGTACCGAGAGTTTTTTACGCCGACTTTTTCTCTCGGCCTACACTCTCTGTCTTCTTTGCCGATGAGTAGGGATGCCTACAAATTCAAATTTAATGACGTGAAATAAGTGATACCTGTATCATATGTTATATAATAAACATATTTTTGATTTTTTTAAACTTAGCCCTACATCTGGACACTGAATCTCACGATAAAATTTATTGTTTACAGTATGCATGCCAATACTGGCATATGGCACAGCGATGGGCTGGATTTCACCCCACAAAGCCCTGCTGATGGGAGAATCCTCACCCTCAGAGAGACCCCTGACTGAAGAGGAAGTGTCCTGGATGGCTTCCATCATGTTTATTTTCGCCCCTATAGCTGTGTTCGTATACGGGGTAGCTGCGGATAAATTTGGACGAAAAAATGCTTTGCTCTGTGCAACTTTGCCTATATCTGTAAGTAAGAAATGAGCAGTGGCTTCAGCGTGCGACTCTCATCCCTGAGGTCGTAGGTTTGATCCTATTTATCTTAATATATTATCCCCGGCTGTGCACCAATGGACTTTCTTTCTATGTGCGCATTTAACATTCGCTCGAACGCTGAAGCCACTAGGCCAACACTGCTCAACTATAACTTTATATAACGAAAAATATTTTCGTCAATTTAGTTCAAAATATATATCTGTCTTTCTATATGCGCATTTAACATTCGCTCGAACGGTGAAGAAAAACATCGTGAGGAAAACGGGCTTGCCTTAAACCCAAAAAGTCGACGGCGTGTCAGGCACACGGAGCTGATCACTTACCTATTAGATTGACAAATTATCATGAAACAGATATAGAAATCTAAGACCTAAAAAGATTTCAGCGCCACTGTTTTATCCCTAGTCCGTAGGCAAACATATAATTCTGAATAAAACACACAAAACTTCGAAATAAAACAAACAAATTACTTCATAGGTCGGTTGGGCAGTTAAACTGATATGTGCGCACCCTATAGCGTTGATAGCTGCGCGTGCGCTCATAGGCTTCGGATCAGGTGGAGGCTTTGTGGTATGCCCCCTCTATGTAAAGGAGATCAGCGAAGACAGTATACGAGGAATGACTGGAACATTTATTATTTTCTCACAGGTATTTATATCAAGGGTTTTTATAATTGACGACTCATTGGTCTAGTGGTTAGTACCCCTGACTGCGAATCCATGGGTCCCGGGTTCGATCCCCGGCTGAGACGAACATCGATGTGATGAGCATTTGGTGTTGTGCTTAGGTCTTGGGTGTTTAAATATGTATTTATATATCTATCTATCTATAATATGTATGTATATCCGTTGCCTAGTACCCATAACACAAGCTTCACCAGCTTAGCATGGGACTAGGTCAATTGGTGTGAATTGTCTTTTAAAAAAACAAAAAAAAAACAACAAAAAATCTATATATACAACTACTGCTGTAATTATGTCAGCAGTTAATAAATATTCTTAATACTTGAAGTATTCAACATTATGTTCCATAATAAACATATTTTTTTTTTAATACTTTACCAAAAGTGTCTGACATACCATAATCGGCCTACCGCTTGCAACTCTATAAATCGCAAATTCGGCCCTACATGGAGTGATATCACCTCTGGCCGGGAGCTCCCCAGTACCAGCTCCTTCCGCTTGCCCGTATTCAACGAAGACCGATTCGAATCGTCAACGACCAGTCACTTTTTGTGCGGCTTGATCCCTTGGCGTTGCGTAGAGATGTGGGGTCTATCTGCATCTTCTACCGCAGTTACCATGGAGAGTGTTCAGAGTAGTTATTCAGACTAATACCTGCAGTTGAGTTTCATCATCGGACGTCGAGGCAGAATACGAAATACCACCTGTAGTAGTATCACCTCGACGTCCGCCGTTCCACAACTGAGCGTTTTTCAAGGCAGTCCAAACCGCTTCGACTTAGGGTCCTTCAAGAAAAGAGCGTACCAATTCTTAAAAGGCCAGCATCGTACTCGCGAGCCCTCTGGCATTGAGAGTGTCCATGGGCGGCGGTATCACTTACCATCAGGTGAGCCTCCTGCCCGTTTGCCCGTGCTGTCCTCAGCAACCCAAGTGTTCTCCAAGAACTCGGTTTTTTTTGTACCTAGGGGATGGGTGCGACGGCGAAGGCCTATGTATAATATAGTTTGCGTTACCAGGAACCAGAACCAGTCTGTTGCACAGATCCCCGTTAAAATAAATAAATGAGTGGCGCTATAACCTCTTTAGGTCTGGGCCTCAGATTTCGGAATCTGTTTCATGATCATTTCAATATAATAGGCAAGTAGGTGATCAGCCTCCAGTGGATGACACACGCCTTCGACTTTTTGGGTCTAAGGCAAGCCGGTTTACTCACGATGTATTACTTCACCGTTCGAGCGAATGTTAAAATTCGCACATAGAAAGAAAGTCGATTGGTGCACAGCCGGAGATCGAACCTACGACCTCAGGGATGAGAGTCGCACAGATCCCCGTTATAAAGACGTATTTTGTATATCAAGGTTTTTTTTTTGTGAATAAATAAATAAAATTATAAATAATTCACATCATAATATACAGCCTGAGAGCAATATCTCCCAGACTTAACCAGTGTATATTAATACTTCAATTATATTAATATTTCAAAAGCTGTTTCCTTCTTAAAAGGAACCTTCTAAAATCTAAATCATCAAGGACTTAAGATATATAATACAAAGTGTAGGCCGTTCACCTCACCGTAGAACCTCGCCTATTCTTCCATTACACTGAGTGCTCGATTTAGCAAAAGGGAATGTTTGCGTCGAGTTATATTTATCGTATAATTTCTTTCAATGAATACAAAGGATTTTGCTTATACCTGACAACGAAAATTTCTTCTTTGAAAATGATTTCTTTGAATTAATTCTTTGGTTGAACGCGCCTATCACAAGAACCACTAGATTTATTATTAAGAAACGCCGCCAAAAGCAGCAAAGCATAAATAAATAACAACTTCTCGCAAGTCCTTTGGCATTGAGAGTGTCCATGGGCGGCGGTATCACTTAACATCAGGTGAGCCTCCCGCCCGTCCGCCTCCTGTAACATTAAAAAAAACGTACCAGGGAGTGTTGACTATTCCCCTGAGCACTTTGTTTTGAAATCGCTGGATTATTTGGATGTATCCCTTTCTAGTACAGCCTTAACTTGTTAAATACATTATTTATTTCATTATTTCAAGACGATTAACTTAGCTTTTAAGAATAAAGTCGTACTGATGTATTTTCAACCCTTTAAATTTTTTTTAATTATCCAGAGCATGTTTTTGCAGACTGTTGGAAATCTGGTCGTCTTCATCTTGGGTGACCTCTTGCCATTTAAAACAGTATTATGGATTCTGCTGGCAATACCATTGGTACACTTCTGTATATTGTTGCGGCTACCGGAGACGCCATCGTACCTGGTCAAATGTGGGAAAAATGAGGTATGGAAATTGTCACATAAATTTTTGATATTGTGGCAGTATTTTCGTTTTTGAATAAGGGGTGTATCGTGGGGGTACCTAACTTTCTGTTTTAAGATTCTGAATTCGCCCTCTTTGAAAGATATTGCACCTACCACGCTTTTCTGGTGTCTCGGCAATAATTCACTTTGGCGCAAAAAGACAGTCCTCGTCACTGTGACGTGGGCAGCATTAGATATAGGATAGGCTGTGATGAGGAAACTCATTCGAGAAACCGTTTCTGTTCCAAAATTTACAGGAATACAGAAATACGAACAATTTTAGAACTCCGTTACAATTCTGGTCCATTGTTTCTTTTCTTGCCAACGGATTTCTGGTCGAAATTAAATTGGTATATCTATGTTAACAGGAAGCAGCCAAAGTGTTGGGTTGGCTCCGGTCGTTTCCACAAACAGACAAATCTATAAGTGACGAGGTGGACCGACTGATCATTGAACAGACTACATCGGAGCTGAAGTTTTCACCGAAACTGTTATGTAAGTTACTTAAACTTTTAAACCACTAGTTCAAATATTTATTTTACACACACAGCGTGGTATGATAAGCTACGGGAGGCAAAAGCACTGGTCGTTTGAATATTTTTTCACCTATAGAGTGTAAATTCACTCCAGTAACATAGGCGGTTTTATACAGCCGTTATACGATTTATCGATAATATAGCAACTCAACAAACCACTCGTATTACTATACTGAGAGCGTCTAACATATCCGTACTTATGTATAAGCCACGATATGTTCTGAAAGGGTTTTTGTTTTTTTTCGACATAGTCGACGTTGTTAAAAGTATACCTATAGAATCAAGCGAATATATTAACTTTATGGTGTGTATATATTAAATCATTTACTTTGAATTATACAACAACATTACCGATGTCAAGTTTATGTATTTTTAACACGAGTTTGGTATCGACAAATCATTTAATCTAGTATTTAGTAAACGTTTTCGATAATCGCAACGGATAGAATTAAAAACAAAAGACGTACTAAGGCTGACACGCGTGCCATTATCGGTGGTCAAACGAAAAGAGGAATCGTGTCAATTCTATGATAGTCCAATCACAAACTAACGCAACGTACCATATGTAACCATAGTTTCGTTTAATACAATAAAAAAATACCCAAAAATAAAAATAATACGGAATATTATTTGGATTTTTTTAAAAAGCTGGATCGAACCTCCTCTAGATATCCCAGGCATCCCATCATCCCATTTGTCCCTCTTTTCAGATGAACTTGGTGAGTTTTGGCCAAAACTCACCGATATGCAGATTAAGCATTCTGATAAACTAGGTCTGGATATCCCTAGTTGCTCCCGTCACACTTTGAAATCAATTTTCCTTTAGATTTTATAATTTTTTTTAATCTCTTCGTGTATGTTGATCACAAGAACGTATAAGCAAACATTGCCTATCGGTACGTTCTTGTCCCATCATCGTATTTTATTTTTCTTGTACCAATGTAACAACAGTCTGCCGATCGTTGGCAAGCTTTTATAAATAAATAAACAGCAAATTTATATTTCTTAGTATGTTTTACAAGGTAAACAAAAGAATTGTCTCAAACCCAATTTTATTAAACAATCATCTTTTTACAAACAAGTCTAGTTCTGAGAAGCTTCGAAGGTGACGCTCCAATTCCGCAAACAAACAAATAATTTTATTGTACCAATTGAGTGACCCCTGCCACAGAACATTGTCCTTGATATCAAAACTCATCATTTTCAATTTGTCCGCATATTAATTCAATGTTTGTTATTCGTATTGGGTCAAATGTCAAATCTACAATTGCGCTGTTCAACTGTTACAGCACAAATACATTTTTTTCCTGTATCGTAACGGCTATTTTGAATTTGTTATGTAGACAATGTTATACATAGTTAGTTTCTGAACGTTCATGAAAAGGGTTCTGAGAGATGAATGTTTCCGTTTGGAAGGCTTTCTTTGGCTGAATCTTACGTTATTTGAATGCGCCTACCGAATCTGGTTTAGTCGAGGTTCGATTCCCAAGTGTTCTGTGTTTTTTTTGTTTCCGCTTGCAAAATACAGAAGTTCTAGATATGTATGTAATCTATTTTTCTCTCACCTATTACGTACGTAAGGGAACTAATAAGGTTATTGGATAGATCTTTAAATAAAAACCTAAAGTTGGTTAAAAGACACAAATTAACAACGAACTTGTTCTTTTAAAATAGATATTTTAACCATTAGGGTGACGTGCTATCCTAGTGGTTAAGTGTACGATTGTTAAACTTTGTGGAAATATATTTACCTTTTTAACTTCGCATTTAAGTAAAACTTGCTCGGAAGCAAAACATATGGAAACAAAGGCGAGGAAACTGGGAAGGTCAGGCAAAAATTCGTCGACAGACAAGACACACAAGGCTCACTGACATGCTTTTAAAATAAGCAAGAGCACACAGAAATTTCAATTAGAAAATATAAGCAAGAACGAATACAATTAATCCAAAACTACCCGTAGTATCGTTGGGGTCGTATTTCTCCCCACTCTTCTTGTCAGCAAAAGTAAGCAAAGCTCTCAAAAATAGTACATAAACGAATCTTTTATTTTTTTGTAGGAATACTCGAAAATGCATTTCGTTTTCAAGCATAGACAATGTGTGGATAATATGTGTAAAAAGTAAATAATTACTATTGACGTAACGAAATCACCAAATGAGTAAATCAAAGACCCCCACCCCTCCCCCTATAGTGATTACGAACGGCCCTATTTTAACATGTTAGCTTTTGCTATAGTTTATAAAATGTTTTAAAGTCAAAATGTATTTGTTTCAGTTGCCGACAAAACAGCCCTGAAGGCTTTTTGGGTAGCCCTCATAGTGAACCTGACCCGAGAGTTCTGTGGATGTATAGCGGTCTTGGTCTACGCAAGTCATATTTTTGCTGAAGCTGGCAAGGATCCCGATTCCAGTATTGCTTTATCACCAAACAAGCAATCGATTTTGTTGGCTTCAGTGCAAATTATAGGATCTTTTTTGGCCTGTCAGCTTGTAGATAGAACTGGGAGAAAGGTGATATAATGCTTTTGGTATTCTGTATTTTTCATTCAAAAGTTCTTATATTCTGGATATATGGAATTCCAGTTAATCATTAAAATGTAAATGTAACTGACGTGATCTACTAATAACTGACTTTATAACTACGTACTTAGTTATCGACGCAGAAAAATTCAAATAAACCCGAAGATCCCAAGATCCTGAAAAACGTTTTTCAAGATCTTGGGATCTTCGGTTTAGGTTTAAACTTTTCCATTTGACACTACACAGACACTATCGCAATATATTTTTTTTAAGGACCAGGAGGCTCATATGATGTTAAGTGATACTGCCGCCCATGGACACTCAATGCCAGAGGGCTCGCAAGTGCGTTGCCGGTCTTTAAAGTATTGGTACGCTCTTTTCTTGAAAGTCGAATTGGTTCGGAAATACTTCAGTGGGCAGTTGGTTCCACATAGTAGTGGTGTGCGGCAAAAACTGCCGTAAGAAACGCTCAGTTGTGGAACGCGGACGTCGAGGTGATACGGGTGGAATTTCCATTCTGCCTCGACGTTAGATGGTGTGGACGTGGTCTGATTTTTCTTCCTAGGCAAGCAGGCTTTATGCTTAAGGAGATTTTTTTTCAGCCTCTGCTAGCAGTAACAAGCGTGGTAGCTGGCTTCAGTATGTGTCTTCTAGGAGTATGGTTCTACCTTCAAAGCATCAGTGTTGCCCTCCCTGGCTGGCTTCCCATCGCTGCGTTATGTTTTTGCATATTTGCAGACGCGTCTGGGTTACAACCTCTACCATTCGTCATTATGACCGAGATGTTTAGCTTTCAGGTATTATTGGTATTTTTATAATGATAAGTATTTAATAAATAATCTCAAAAACAGCTAAACAACACGCAATAGATTTAGTTTTAAAAAGGCACTTGTTGTGTACATAAAATAATTAACTTCAGGTAATATATTAATAGCGAAACTCGAAATCCAACCAAGGATTGGATAATTGAATACCTATTTAGTTCATCTAGACTCTAGATTGCTTTGGATAGCATTGTTTATCACGGAGTAGAGTTTGTTTTAAAATGGGGTCCCAGTCTGTTAAATAATAATTACAAACTATATATAGGTACAAAAGATTCGTTTATTAAAGGAATGAATAATTACAGTGTAGTGAATTAACTAAAATAAAATTTTACTGGGACGGGTCGCTAGACTGTTTTACTTAATTTTTTGGCTTTTTTGTGGGTCGCGACATTAAATGGTTAAGTGATACCGCCGCCCATGGACACTCTCAATGCCAGAGGGCTCGCGAGTGAGTTGCCGGCCTTTAATTCTATTAAGCATTTAAATTAAGTTATTAACCTTAAAATATAGACATATTATGTAGTCATGTTTTTATATTACCATCTTTGTCAACAGCTTCGAGGCACAGTAGCAACATTGATAATGGCGATATCACTTGGCACAGACTTCGCCCTGCTCAAATTATTCGCCCCACTCAACAATTGCATAGGATATCATTCTACTTTCTGGATTTTTAGCTTTATATGTCTGTCTAACGTATTTTATTTGATATTATGCGTTCCTGAGACCAAAATGAGAAATCTAGAAGATATATACGCAGATTTAGAAGGCAGGAGAAGAAAGAAGAAGAAAAATGTTGAACCTAATGTATAGATATTTTATGATTTAGGTTTAGCCTATATACAATTGTATATTAATATATTTTTACATAATACTGGGTATAGAGACCGCTTCTAACTCCGAAAATATCCCCCGGTAAGGTCCCCTGAGGTCGTAGATTCGATTCCCAGGTGTGCACCATTTTCTTTCTATGTGCATTTAACATTTGAACGATGAAGGGAAAAATCGTGAGGAATCTAACTTGCCTTAGACCCTTGCCGCCTTGAGCAAGTGCGTTGTAGGTATTTTAAGAATTGCTCTTTTCTTGGAGGATCCTAAGTCGAATTGGTATTTCTGTATTCCAAAAACATACAAACATAATAAAGTATTTTTTTTTTTCAATTAACTTACATTGAGTTGCGATCTTTTGTTCCCAGTATACCCCATGTGGGCTTTTGTAAATTGGAGGCTTCGACTCCTTAACTTAATTATTCAGATAGCTTTCTGCTCAGTTCTAGTTATTAAACAGCACATTTATTTTTCTTTATTTAAGAAAATGGTTATGTTAGTACGAAGAGCAATCTTTGCCTGCAATGCCATAAATGCCAAAATAATAAATAAATAAAAACTTCATGACAGAAATATGGTTGTGTAAAAATTCATCTATCGCTAGACCCCACACTAGGGAGTGCTTGTGTAACTAGATAACAATACAATTAAGTGTATCATCGTTGTAAAATATGTAAAGCTAAAATTGGTTATAGCCATTTTTAAATAATTTCTGTAATTTAAGACCAAAGTTGAGACTTATATGCTGACGTGGGGAGAACTATAATCCTTGATTAGTTAATGTACTGTCATTTCACCGTGTTGCTCAACATTATACAGTGAGGCATTCAAATCATAATTTATTTATATTGATAATTATATGCACTTATGAATGTCAATATTAAAAAAAAAATTCAACCAATTCCCACATCAAGGGTCGGGAGAACTGGCTAAATAAATGGCAATAATTTATTTATAATGTAAATATAGTATAAATAATAAAACACAACTCAATTAAAGGAAATTTACTTGATAATAAATAACTAGAAGTATACAAAAGCTGTTTTTGTTATTTTTTCTTTTTTACAAATTTTCATACCGTCACGATACAATAACAACAATTCTGTGTAAAATGTTGCCATTATCCAAATTTAGGGGGTAATTTAAAACAGAATTGATGCCATATACTTAAATAAAGACTAGTGAACGTTCAACATAGGTACAGAAAATGAAGTACTAATACTATTAAATATTAAGGACATATAACATTTGAACGAAGCTGTCCTTTCTAACGGTTTTTGATACGTCAATATTCCAATCAATGCACTTAAAACTATCTACGAACATAAATAACTGTAAAAGTGTTACAACTAAAGTATATCCGCTTCTTTTCATCACGGTGTCAAAGCTTTTTGATAGATAGAGACAGAAGAGTAGTTTTTATAAGCAGGATTGTTTGTATTAAATCTCGGCGTTATTTACGTTTAGTGGAATATTAAAGCGACACCCAACATATCGCTTGCCCCTCAAAATTACCGTCGTAATGAGCGGTTACTGTGTCGTCCGTAATTATTTTTAAACAGTGAAACAATCATAAAACGCTTTTGGTCTTCAGTCTAATTCAATAAATTACTGTAATGTATATATAGTAATTTTTAAACTATTTACACTAAATACATAACAATATTTAAATCTTCGAATAGGAAAACTTTCATTTGATATATATATTTGTATATGTATACTTAGGGTCTGTTTTACAATGTATGGATAAAGTACCAAATAACTTATGATGGACTTTATGTGACGAATAGCGCTATCTGACAGTCGTGAAACACAACAATGTTTATCCTACCAATAAGTAATAAATAGCTGATTTGGAACTTATGTAGAACTTATCCGTACATTGAGAAAGTCCTATAATTATATTTCCTGAAAAAAAAAGTAGATTTTCCTTTCACAACTTTGTTCCCGGGGCAAGCGATTATCTCTCTTCCACTAAACGACGTCTCCATAGTACGAGAACCACAACTTCCGTTATTACAGAATTTTTGCTTTGATCATCTTTCCTTTTAGACTCCATTTTCTATACCTACGACTTGAGTAAAACCTGAACACATACTGACAAACGAAAATAGGACAAACCAATAGTTGTATCGTTCTCCCTTTCTCATATAGATAAAGAATGAGATGGCATTCGTTCATCAAAATTCCAACTCCGCTACTCCTGCCGCTGTCATTGCCCTAACTACTTCTTAGCAATAAGTGGTAGTTTTCCAATTACAGAGCATAATGCGACTCAGTGCCGCACAATGCCGAATTATGCTGAAGCTTAATTGGAACGTGAATTAGTTTTCAAATGCATCAGCAGAGTGCGCTATGTTGAAAGTGCCTGCATTGAAAGATTCAATCAAACCATTGCAATGTTTACAAAAGTATAATCCTGTAAAATAAATTTGTTTACAGATCCGAATTTTAAAATTAAATTGTATTCATATTTTAAATGTGGAATATAAAAAAATTTAATTATTTATACCTTTATCTTTTTAACTTTGATTATTTCCAAAATCTACGACAATACCTTACAAATTTTTCAACAATAAATAATATTACTAACGATGTTATATTAACAAAATTTCTATCAATGCCAACTTAAAGAAAAAATACTCAATTTTTTGTCACTGTGTTGGTATTGATTGCGAGTATCACGCGAGAGCACTTTTGAGAGTGCTCAATTGTGCGAAGCGTTGCTGTTGTTGGAACATTCAACGTTGAGAATTATGCCGCATAATGCGCTCTAGTGCTGTAATTGGAAAACTACCAGCTTTAAACTGACAGCAGTAGCAGTATGAGCAGCTTCGAAACACGCTGCCCATCGGTATCCAACAGAGGCATTAAGATGTCTTAGAACAGCCAAAAATAAGGTTTATCTATCGCTTAATATCGACTAGCGTTTAAAATGTCTCACACATCTAACTTTAGTAACAGCTCGGAACGTTTTACGACTTTAATTGACGTTAAAATGAATATAACGTTAATTAAAACAGATACAAATATCTGTGTTAGTTTGTGTGATACACAACACAACACAGCGTGTGTCGAGTTCTGTAACAACAATCTTGTCAAAGAAATTTCTCGCTTATTTCATGGAAATTAAAACCAATAAATAGTTCATATACAGACAAGACAAATCTGTGTCTAAGAAGTTAAAGCGCCAACTGCTGTACAATAATTTAAATAAAAAATACTCCATCAATTATTAATTCTATCGTGATAATTTGTCAATCAAATAGGCTTTACACATCGACTTTTTGGGTTTAAGGCAAGCTGGTTTCCTCATGTTGTTTTTCTTCACCGTTTGACATTTTCATGTTAAATGCGCATGAAGCCACTAGACGAACACTGTTCCATTATGTTAAAAGCAAGCGTAAATAAGTCCTAGTAGTTTTAAGATTGCATAGTTTCAGTTATATTCTTATTAACTTGACAAATGTTTCCACTTTCGTTCTGTAATAAATTGTAATTAAACTACGCAATTGTTCTTCGTTAACTCATTGCAAAGTTTAGTATCACTAAATAAAATATTCAGAAGCGATATCCAAACTCAAACTAATAAAAAAGGAAGAGTATTTTTTATATTTTATAATGAGAATAATCATTTTTTTTACTACTTATTAGTAAAGACTAAACTGAGCAGTGCTCAAAATAATCTACTAGTTTTATACTTTAAATCTCATATATTAGGATCAAAATGACAATGTTACAAAATTTAAGAACGGTAAATCTCATGATCCACAGATAAGTAATAATTATAGATTATAGAATGTGTCAACGATCACAAAAAAAGGAGTTTAAAATTAGAAATGGCAACTCCTGTAAAATCTCCCGCAGCCACAGATTAGAGATAATTATAGATTACAGAATATGCCATCCAATGCAAAAAAAATTAAAGTGAAAAATGGCAACTCCTGTAAAATCTTGCGTATCCACAGGTTAGTGATCATTATGAAAAAAAAGTGCAAAACAGTTGTGAAGATGGCAACACCTGTTAAACCACAGCCACAGATTAGAGTTGAATTTGCCAACGAAACCTTATTGGTGATACAATCTTCATGTTGTCAAATGTTTAATTTTGATATTCTATATTCAAATTACTTAATAGAGAAATAAATAAAAGACAACAATGTTGATACTTTCATACATTTAAAATTTATACAATTTAATTATTCTAGTCTACTATTTATCTATTTCAATGCTATTTAGTTTTATACTCGTGAGGAAATCTTTTGGGAAACCCTTAATTGTTTTTACTGAAAATAATATGGTATAAAGACATAATTTATTTTTAGAAAAATATGATTGAATTGGCAGTTCTGATTATTCCAAACTAAAATTTGTATTATTTTTCAGTCAAAACTATACAATTTAAGATACCTAACTATATTTATAATTTCGATTTTATAACTAGGACTTTGATACCAAAACATTTGTGAACTTATAGAATTTTGTAGTCTATGGAATGAAACTATAGTAGTGACTATAATCTATACATAGTATTGTCTATGATTTTTATGCACCACGTTAGTTTGTCACATACTGTATGACTTTAACCCAGAGTTGGATTCCTGAGAAAAAGTTGATGAACAATCAATTTTATATATCCAAAAATATGTCAATATGCCGAGTCTTATACAGTACTATTCTGGAGTATAGTCTATGTGAAACAGTGTATATAATTTTTAAACTATGGTAAAAGCACAGATTACAAACCTAATTACGTCACTTATGTTCAAAATTTGAAGATTCACTTTATAAAGTTTTTATTTAAAATTCAAAAATCCCTATCTCCTAAAGTACTCATAACACTCACGAAATCTTCCATGTCAGGCCTCCGTTTCTCTTTCCGTCTCTTCTTGACTCTCTTTCTGGCTATCAGTCGGGATAACCTCCTTCTGCACTTCTTGGATTACTTTCGGTTCTTGGATTATTTCTTTTGATTCTTGGATTATTTCTTTTGATTCTTGGATTATTTCTTTTGGTTCTTGGACTATTTCTTTCTTCTCTTCCGTTTTGGAATCTGTAGATATTGAGCTGGAAGTCAAACTGTTCGGCTGAGAGGAATCCTTACTTTGAGGCTCTTGACTCTTTTCCTTGTCTTTCGCATCTGAAATACAATATAATACATATATAAGTTTCACATAGTACTTTAACAACGAAATCCGTCTAATAGCGTTCTATTAATGAAGGTACTCTTGCGTCTCTTTATGTTATATTGTGTTTACGCTATGATAAAAAGAGACACACCTAATGATACAAACTTTACTTTAGAATTCTAAAAATACATCTATACCAGTATTTCTCACTCTTTTGTGCCATGCCCCCCTAGGTAACATACATAATATTTAATATTAAAAAAATCCCTTAAGAAACTTAATTGATACGTTTTAGGAAGCAATTTCAAAAATTCCCAAAAAAAATTCGAATAATCAAATTGCCTCAGAGGGGCATGGGCCTCACATTGAGAAACACTGATCTATACTAATATGAGGAAAGATTTTGTATGCTTGTAAGTTACTCAAAATTACTGGACCAATTTTAAAAATTCTTTACTACTGCTACATAAACTCTGACGTCTATTTAATTTATGTGATGCGTCTTCGTATACAGTCGGGAAAATCTATCGGATATTTTTTCCATATTAGAGGTCCAAACTAATTTTTGAACTCGGACCACAGCTCCCATTTAACAAAATACATTGACGTAAGGGAGCACTAACTATTCTTTCTCTAAGACGTCAATCAATCTTAATTTAAGTTCCAATAACATATGATTTAGATTATATTCTTCTGTGAAGTAAATAAATTAAAAAAAAGGGTGCGTGTACTTATGTACGCGCGTAAGAAGTTATACTTCTTTGGCATAATTAAGAATAGTTTTTGATTGCATGCAAATAATTAATTACAATTAAATAATCAAAGACTGGAAAAGGAGTCACTATAGTCAATAGTTCAGTTTACATTTGAAAAATAAAATAAATATTTATTATTATTCCCTTACATTAAGTGTAACATAAATTATATTATTATTCGAATGTTGTTTTTATGTCCAATGCCGTAGCATCTTCCGTGGGCAACTTCAATCTGTTAATTTTGTGTCACGGTGCGCGCGCATCGTAAAATTTCACTCTCATACATTTTTCATAACGCGCTTAAAGAAGTATAACTTCAATTAGTGGGCAACTTCAATCTGTTAATTTTGTGTCACGGTGCGCGCGCATCGTAAAATTTCACTCTCATCAATTTTTCATAACGCGCCTAAAGAAGTATAACTTCAAAAAAAAGCATTGATCAATTTGAACATAAAATACTTAGTCGCATCACATAACTTCAGCGTGTAAAATTTCCATGTCACAAAACTAAGCATACTTCTCACTTAGCTGTACCAAACTACATTCAAATAATACTAACACAACTAAAATAGAAAACTTGGTAAAACTTATGGTTGTTCCTTTACAATCGGGAATTGATCCAAGCGAGGTATACCCTCTTCCATAGAGCTAGGGGAAATGGGAATGGGGAAAAGGGTTTAATAGGACAAACTGAATAATGTTCATCTACAGAACCCTATTATTTTTAGTGGCCTATAAAAATCGTTATTTAATATAGAAGTTATATATTGAAAAAGGATTTAAAAACTCAAAATATAATTTCGAAAAGGCAAAACGATCAGTCCACTTCCAATTTAATTAAATTTTATTTTTATATATATAATTCTTCTGTGAGTGTGTATGTCACTGAACTTCTCTCAAACGACTGGACCGATTTTGATGAAATTTTGTGTGTGTTCAAGGGGATCTGGGAATGGTTTAGATTCACAAATCAGCCCGGCAGATGGCACTGCAGTCGGTACTTTCATACTTTGCTTAATATCCTAATCGCTTTAAATATCATGCAGGACAACGTCTGTGGGGTCCACTAGTATATTCATAAAATTGGTGATGTTTTTTACGTACTATTTCGTGAGAAATTCAATAAAATTAAAAAAAAAGTTTAAAATCTTACCGTGAGTGGCCGGCCAAGGTTTTCTGACAAACATATTCTCCACTATACGGTCGATGTTATCCTTCTCTGAGTTCGGGGGCCTAAAAATACATTCAATATTTATTTTACCTATATAGGTGAGACCGTTTAACGAGGCGAAAGCCTTTTTCTGCCAAACACACACATATATAGACATAGCACTTGTAACTAACGAAACACACATAAACAATAACAAATGAAAAAAAAAATGTTTTTCCCTTTTCCCATTCGGTTCCTTTCAAATGTGTTAAGCGTGTGTGCTGTGGTTGTAATTTAAACACAAATAATAATAAAAAAATAAAAAATGTGTGCGTGTACTAGGTGTACACACGTAAGAAGTGAAACTTCTTTATGACCTTATTAGAAACTATTTCTTTAAACACAGTAAATTTTGATACACTGCCTAGCATACAATTTACAAATTAATTGCTGCAAATTGCGATTAGCAAATTTCAAGTCGAAAATGTAATCCGTTGTCAAACTTCAAAGTCAAAAACATACTATATGTCATATTTTAACGCCGATAAAGAAGTTTGACTTCGAAAATGTAATCCGTTGTCAAACTTCAAAGTCAAAAACATACTATATGTCATATTTTAACGCCGATAAAGAAGTTTGACTTCAAAAAGCAACATGGCGCGTAACGGAAAAATGTGACGCGTAACGCAAGAATGTTACACTAAATTTTTTTCCAACCCCGATAAAGAAGTTTCACTTCAAATATGTAAAGCAAAAAAAAAAGAAATAAGTGACATTTTAAGTGTGTAATGTGTGTGTTTTACACACATATGTATGTAAATTTTTCACCTGTAGTTTGGTTTTCTTATACTGTATATATTTTTGTTATTTTATTCTTACTTCAGGAGATTTGCGCCTAGCAACATAATATTTTGTGATGAATTTTTATTTATTTAGATATGTGTAAACACTAATAGCACTACAACTTAGGTCTGGGCCATACAAATTTAGTTTTCTGAAATGCCAAGGTAAATTTTTGGTACCTCTCGGGAATAGCAGGCCTGACGATGGGAATGGCTGCGGTGGGTCTCCTCTGGGGTCTGGGCGGCTGCTCTTGCTCGGCACAGGTGTAGTACGTCAGGCCGGCTGGGGCTGGCTGAAGAAATTAAAAAAAAGCACTTAAATATCTTAATAGCACAAATTCGCAGTTCCCGATCGATATTCAGATCACGTTCAAAGTTTTTTTCCTTTTTATATAATATTAATATCATTTCCAACAGAATTAATACAAGCAAAATAGCAAGGCAAAAACTGATGTTGTCCACCCGCCGCCCATGGATACTCAAAGCCAAAAGGCTTGCGAGTGAGTTGCCGGCCTTTTAAGAATAAGAATTCTTATAGCATTTATAAACTTACATAATTGTGGTGCGGATACATTTGATGAGGCGGATATTGCGGAGGCTGGTACATCGCTCCGCCGTACACCGCCCCGCTACCGCTTTGCTGAAATTCCAGCGATTTTTTATTAAAAACATTACACACTTATAGACTTTGAAGTTATCGCAGTGCTTGGGATCGTGGGTTCGATTTCCGATGAAACAATGATGAAATTGAAAAACAACAGACGGACACAAATATGTCTTTCCCATGACCAATGTGTTATAAACAAAAATACTTAAAAATAATTGTTGTCTGTAAAGTCGGTTTAGGGACAATAATTTAACATTGATGAAATGATTGCATACTTAAGTCTTCGAGTAGAACAGAGACAGATGCGGCGCAAGCGTACAATGAGCGTAATGGTACATTGAGCGTGACGGGACAATGAGTCATGCTATTCCCCGTGCGTGCAGCATCGAATTCTTCACATTAAAATTAAAATTTACCTGCATGTACTGTGCGGGCATCATAGCGGGGGGCGCATATGCTTGTGGCGCTTGTATTTGACCTGAAATTTTTCATTATTAATGTTTTTAAACCAACTTTTTTTATTTGTCTCTGTAATAAGGTACAATTAACATTACGATAGTAACTTAAGACTAATAAGTAATACCTTAGTAACCTAAATAAAGTAGTAACCTAATTTACTAATAATAATATTTAACATAAGAAAGTGTCCAAACACCACTGGGCCAGTGCCACATACTTGGCCGGTAAAAGCGTCGTTGTCATGGATTCGTATTGCTAGTAAATAAACATTAACCATTATAAGGGGAATAATTTGAAGTCATGCACTAACTACAGGCTAACTTAATAATTTATTGAAATGTCTTAATAAAACAATGAACTATATCTAGAAAATACAGATACAATATACAATTAAATAAATATGACATAAACTTAGGAACAACTGATATGATAGGTTTAATTACCTGTACTATTAATATATTATCTTTTAAGATAGCTAGCAATCAGAACCGTTCGCTAATTAAAACTTTGTTATTGTAATTATTAATGCAAGGAATTAAATACATTTTAGTTGGATTTTCATTAGATGTTGGTTGTATTTGAGAGCTAACTGAAAATGTCAGTCTGACATTTCAAAATGGCGACGTTAGTACCAATTTCTGCCACCGACCAAGAAAAGTATGTGACACTGTATAGTATGGAGAGGACATTCTGTTCTTGTGTTGCATTTTTTTAAGTTAGAATAAAAAGTGCAATTATTTTTAATTCGACGACGACATCAGCGACATTGCCTAGCAAATATATCGTACGGGTAATCAAAATATAATCAAACGATTATATCGTCATATAAAATACTGAGAAGAGCTAAGTGTTTCACATCAAGGCAGTGGGTCACGTGTTTCTTTTTTAATTAGATAGATTAGAATCACTTCTTATGATGTGATGATTAGATCAGCCTCCGTTCGTGGGATCCAGCTTTAAAAAATTCCTTACCAATATTGTGTGGCTGCGGCATATTGTGCATGGCGTGATGGGCGTGGGGCACCATCGGCTGTTGCTCCATAAGACCCAGACGAACTTGCTGGAAAACGACAGCCAAGATTTAACACATGTAGTTAAAAAACGGACATGTATTTTTTTCTGTCTGACACGCGCCATCGACTTTTTGGGTCTAAGGCAAGACGGTGTCCTCACAATGTTTTCCTTCAACGTTCGAGCGTGCGCCAATAGAAAGACTCCATTGATGCACAGCCGCGGAACGAACCTACGTCCTCAGGGATGAGTCGCAGGCTGAACACTGCTCTTATGATGTAAATAAACAAACTAATAAACACTAAGGTACAGAACCTAATCCGTATCTGAAGTCACAATCACGTCTTGAAAGCTCTTGAAACGAAATTTTTGTTTGAGTAACGTTCTAGAACCAGTTTTATTTTTCATAATAATATAAAATTATAACCATTTATGTACTTATATAATAAATTTATCTGATCCTTTTCAATAATTCCAATAAAATAAATCCAATAACGCACTTCCTAACTTTTTTGCATGGCTGACGCACAAACCGTGCAGGCCAAGAAAGGGAAAAAAAACGTTCTAGAATACTCAATATTATTTTCTATTGAATACTTTTTTAGTGCACATTAAAAATTAGATTTTTTAACGGGATTCAAAACATACCTGCTGAGCGAGCGGTTGATTGGGTACCGGCTGGTGAGGCGGAGATGGCCCGTGCCCTTGTTGGTTAGCATTCGCGTTACGTAACTGCGTCTAAAAAAATAAATTGTGCGTGTACTAGGTGTACACACGTAAGAAGTGAAACTTCTTTATGACCTTATTAGAAACTATTTCTTTAAACACAGTAAATTTTGATACACTGCCTAGCATACAATTTACAAATTAATTGCTGCAAATTGCTTCAAAGTCAAAAACATACTATATGTCATATTTTAACGCCGATTAAGAAGTTTGACTTCAAAAAGCAACATGGCGCGTAACAGAAAAATGTGACGCGTAACGCAAAAATGTTACACAATTTTTTTTTCCAACCCCGATAAAGAAGTTTCACTTCAAAAATTGGTTAAGTATAGAATCTTTATCTGTTACAAATTTAAAAAAATCACAAACATACATTATACCTTTTATTAATCTCTTTTACTACTAACAGTTACAAAACACAAAAAAATGAAACAAAATAAATAGAAATAATTGAACAAATAACACACAAATCTATTATTTATTGTAAGTCATAAAGGACGCCAAATCTCTCTTAAACACACCAACTGTGTTGGCATTTCCAATCGAATCAATTGAATATAAAAGTGAGAGTTTGGCTCTGGGAAATTCTGATCACTTGTTTATAAAGAAAAAAATATTACACTACTATATAATAACAAGAGCGTAAAATTCACATAAAAAAATATTTTCAACAAATTAATTTTACATCTTCAGTATATGTGAATTTAACATATGCTAAAATACAAACATATACTCGTATATATTCGGTAGTGGGCTGATCAATTTTAAACTTTTGTTAAGTTCCTATTTCGTACATAATCCGCTGTTTTGCTGGTAATTGTATATTTTTTTTAACATTTATGTTTGCCTAAATTGTCAAACATTTTAAAAAATAGTTTGTAACATATATCATAGATATAGTATTATGTATGATGTGGTAAATTTAATAATAAACATAGAACACCATACCACCTATCACCCTAGGATTAGCTTTTACTATTATTATTTAAATATATTGTATATTTCTAGACATTATTTTGTTTATTAATTAATACTTGTAAAAACATGTTTTTTTTTACCATTCTAGGGTTGCCTGGAAATCACTTATTAACGGCCGTGTAATGCAACATCCTTTTTTATGTTAACAGTAAATAAATACTTCTACGACAAAATAAAACTTCTCACCTGTCCCCTGTTGGTTTTGAGCCGGTTTTTGTTGCGATTGTTTTGTGGCGTTACTTTGCGCATTCTGTGAAACAACACACAAACTATACAAGACATAAACTATCGTTGAAACTACTCATGTTCTTTTCTTTATTCCCCGCTAAAATACCTACCTACCTAGATTTAAAAAAAAAATAATATGTGTGCAATTCAATTCAAAGTGAAACCTTCAAAAACAATTTTTTTTATATATATGTAAATTAGACTTTTCACTATCTGTATATGTAGAATTAAAATTTTCTTAAAAAAAATATAAAATATTTTAATGTTGAATTTTGATTTATTAGTTTAATATCAATCTTTAATTTGGTAAAAACTAAAATAATGAAAGTTTGAAATTCGATGAAATGAAAAAACGACGTAAAAAGAGACAAACACATAAATTAATCGTAGTAAGAAGTTTTCACTTCAAAAAGTTTCTATAATTCTATAATATGTAGGTAACTAAAATTGATAAATTTCATCAAATCTTATAATTGATTTATACACTGTATAATGCTTCCTATCTCATTTTCTCTCACATAAAATCTTATGAATGTATGTGTCTGTCTCTTTTTACTGTCGCTTTTTCGTTTCAACGACATTCAAATCACAATGATTCTAAAGAAGTTTCACTTCAAAAATTGATCCAACGTAATCTGTTTTTTTATAAATTTCTTAATATCAACTCTTTTGGTGTGGTACCTTATTTTACACACATATTATTCTAAGAAGTTTCGTAATACATAGATATATATAGTCAAAATCTGTTATCGAATCGAAGCGACTATTCATATTTGGTCGTAAAAACCGATAGTCGACGACGTTGTTTTTAGGACCTTTGATTTTCGTCAATATAACCGGTATGTTGTTCTAAACGATGTCGTCGTAAACGGTTTTGACGGTACATAATATATTTCTATTCCTATATATTCATAGGCGATTGGGGGCCGGCCGTCTCGCCTCCTCCACCCCTACGCTTTTGTTGCAATGAGTGACGTATTTTACTATTTTATTGCAGAAATCAAAAACGAATCGTTTTTGATTGACAGACATGTAGTCTGTGATGGCACTAGAGGTGTGTTCCAATTATAATCAAGTGAAACTTGGTAATCCCAAGGTTTTATGAGTATCTCTGTAAAGGTGCATAGATACTATGTGTATGTTGTATATTGTACGGTATTAAGTTGGAAGTATATTCATCTTCTATTATTTATTACCTGCTAGAAAACAAAAAAAAAAAGACTGAACGACGAGCGCTTTGTTTAACTGTAATTTAAGTTAATATGAAAATAACTTTCTAACTATAAAAAAATTAAATCTAAATAAACAAAAAATCGTGTAAGTGTGTGTATGTGAACGGGTGTCCGTTTACACTCTGTATTTGAGTGTGGTTGATGATATAAGTTAGTTTTTTTGCAATCTCAGAGTTATGCCAATAAAATCGATAATGAAATTCAAAAACTAAAATTCAAATTCAAAAATTTATTTTAAAAAGCAAAAAGTATATTATTAAAAAAAAATGGTGCGTGTACTTATGTCCGCGCGTAAGAAGTTATACTTCTTTGGCTTTCTTTATTTTTTTTAAATATTAAATAATTAATAATAAATATTTAGCGTTAATAATTTAACAATATTTAATATTTAGTATATTATTCAATGATTAATTAATATTAATAATAATTATTTTATTATATTATTAATTCAATTTAATAACAAGGTATGTTTCATAACCTTTTAACTAAGTAACAATAGGTCTTTGTGAAAAAGCATTGCTAAATTTCTTTGAAAAAATAATTAAAACTCCTTTATTTGTTTAAAAGGTACTACAAATGTCATTATGGTCATTCAAAATTCTTGGCATAGCTGCTAACGTCACGCATATTCTATTTCTTTTTACTTGTAGATTGTCTTATTCTCATCTCGCTCGCGCACGCTCGGCGCCCATACTGATAATTTTGTGTCACGGTGCGCGCGCATCGTAAAATTTCACTCTCATAAATTTTTCATAACGCGCCTAAAGAAGTATAACTTCAAAAATCTTTTTTAATTTTATATAAATGTATTTTCTTCGTTAAGTTATGTAATAAAAAAATTGCAAATACCTGTGTTGGGACTGGTTTCCTCTTAGCAAGATCCGTGGACACCGGCGCCTGCTGTCCGATAGTCGCATTCACTTTACGTAAGGGTTGACTGTTTTGACTGCAAAGTTTAAAATGATTGTCAAATCAAAAGGAGATAGGGGCCTCATAGCCTAGCGGTCTTATTAAGTGGCAGCTAGATGAGGGGTACCGGGTTAGATTTTCGGTTCGAGGGAGGGTTTTAATTTAATTTAAATTTGTTCTCGGCCTTTGGGAGGGTTGAGCTGTACCGGGCAAGCACGAATTATAAAAATCTTATACTTGACGCTGGCTAATGCACAAACCGTGCCAGAGCCATAATGAAAAAAAAACAAAAGGATTTTAAATTCGTTTTATGTCAAGTGTATCAATTAATTGGAATAAAAAAACGTCTGGGCCTTAGATTTCTGTATCAGTTTCATGATAATTTGTCAACCTAATAGGCAAGCCGGTATCCTCACGATGTTTTCCTTCACCGTTCGAGCGAATGTTAAATGCGCACATAGACAGAAAGTCCATTGGTGCACAGCCGAGAATCAGACTTACGACATCAGGGATGAGAGTCGCACGCAAGGGCTCAATTTTGCCACAACAAATTCATTTGAAATAACTCTAAAAAACTTTATTCATATAGATAACCAAGCACACTTAGGAACGTCAACAAATAAGATGTGAAATTGATTCTTAATTTACATTTTCTACCAGTTCGCAAGTCTAGGGCGTAGAGCGGGCAAGAAAAACTGGCAAGGAAGTCTCCGCCACTCTATTTAACCGCTAAGTTTTGAGTTATGCAAATTGTTTGAACTGGAGCAAATCAATCCCAAGGATTAGAATCATTTAAACATTCGTCAAATTTATAAAAAGCTTTTTTGATTAATTTACGTTTAACGAGAGTTTAGAATTTATTCAGTGACAATTCTCTAATTTCGCTTGAGAGTTTGTTGTAAAAACGAATACAATTTCCATATAAAGAGTGGTTTATGTTCTGGAGCCTGGTTGATTTACATTTGTTCTGTTACGAGTATTATACTGATGAAAGACATGGTATCAAGTTACCGCACACTCCCACTACCAGACTAGCAACTGGCAAAGTTGCCAGCCTATATATTATTTATAACCTAAAACAAATTCAACAAAAAAAACTGTAACTGAAAATACGCCAAGAATCAAACTTTCGACCTCCGATAATGTTAGTAATGGAGAGTTTATTGCCAGTTCTTCTCTTCCGTTCTACGCCCTTGATTTGAGAACTGGCAGTAAATGAAAAATTAGAAGCATTTCATATATAATTCTTTTTTGACATTCATAAGTGTACATTGTGTTACCTATATGAATAAATGATTTTGAATTTTTGTTACTTACTTGTTATTAATAACAGTGGTTATGGTAAGGTTCTCCAACGGCGGCATCTTCTCTTTGTTTGAGGGGTTAGCCTTGGCCACAGGATTGGGTCTAGATTTGGCCTTTATGGACGCGTTTCGTCTTAAGGAACCATTCTCTGAAGAATCGTTTGAGGCCGGTTGAGATTTTGAACGCGGCCTTGGAACACGAGGTTTTCGTCTGAAATATGTGATATATTAAAATAATAATGAAGAATTAAACGCCAATGTGTTGCTGAAATAATTGTTATTTCGCAAAAGTTCTTCTAAACAATTTTAATCTAATTCCTAATTAAAATCCACAAATGTTCCAACAAAAATTCAAACTTCGTCTAACAAACTCTCAATTTTACAAATTAAATAAAACGTCAGTTTTCCCACATTACAGATAATTAACAATCTAATCTTATAAAGATAAAATATAATTTTTTTTTACAAATATATCAAGAATTTTATTATGATCGCCCAAAATGAGCAGATTAACTAGTTTCAAAGATTATTTATTAATTTATTATTATTATTTATTTAAAAAAATCTAATTACACATTCATAATTTCGAGAACCCCTCAAAACGCTTGTATAGGCAATATATCATCGTACTGGTATCATAATATAGTATCGTATCGTTTAGCTTGTATTCTATACAATGATACTCAACATAGCATACACCCACTCTCAATATCGACAACAATTGAGTAATAAAGTACTTTTTAAGTTGCTTAAATTTGTAAAAACTGCGCAGTTGTGCGTTCTTTTGTCGCTTCATTATCTTAGCCCGCAATAAACTCGTCTGTCGGCATACGAACTTCCTATGATATCCGTTGATTTGTTTACAAATTGGGATTTCTTGAACGTTCTTTATCACGAAGAAGCCTCAATATCGCAAGATATGAATAAAATAAGTAAAAAAATACAACATAATTTCTGGTGTAGCAAAAGATAACAGACTATACGCAATAGCATTCAAATAAGATTCTTATTTATGTGCATAGCACTTGTCTAAAACAAACTTTTTGATTTAATAATCGTCAAATTTTAAAAAAGCTATATTGATATACGTTCAACGAGAGCATTGAATTTATTCAGTGATAATTCTCTAATGTCGGGAGTTTATTGTAAAAACAAATACAATTTCCATATAAGGAGTGGTTTAGTTCTCTTTCGACTATTATACTGGTGAACCAATACATAACATACATCGATTTGAGTCCCCAATATCAAGTACAGTCTACTCTTTATAACGAATTTCAAGAGACCGAGCCTTTTATATTTATGAATTAATGGGTATTGGTTTAAACCAAATAAATTTAACTCTTTTTTACGTTATAGAGAGTTTTCGTTATAACGAACGTTAGATACGATGACGATATAGTCTAGAGTTTACACTGTATGTCTACACTTACCCAGGTTTATTAACAGCGTTCAGTTCAGGGAAATCAGACGGACTGGGCGGTTTCTTATGGGCTGCCTGCATCGCTTGCCTCTTGTATGCCTCCTCGTCCTCCCACGTACGGGTATACTTATTCGGTCCGCGTCTGAAAATACATTTATTATAAACACGTTTCTCCGATAAAAAATTGCAATCATGCAGTCATGCAATGGCTAAAATAATAAAGGAATACATTTCAAGAAGAATCGCTTGATTGTGGCGACTGGTATTTTTAAGCTATTGCATAGATTTTATCGCGGACTTTGAGCGCGGCGACCGAATCAAGAAATTCCGGCAGCCGGTACGCGTTAGAGTGAGACAGACTATATAGACAGTATATATATATTTTTTTTGAAGTTATACTTCTTTAGGCGCGTAATGAAAAATTGATGAGACAGAAATTTTACGATGCGCGCACACCGTGACACAAAATTAACAGAATGAAGTTGCCCACTAACGAATTTTTTTTAAACCAGCCGGGCGCCGAGCGTGCGAGAGCGAGATGGGAATAAGACAATCTACAAGTAAAAAGAAATAGAATATGCGTGACGTTAGCAGCTATGCCAAGAATTTTTTCAAAGAAATTTAGCAAAGCTTTTTCACAAAGACCTATTAGACTTAGTTAAAAGGTTTGAAACATACCTAGTTATTAAATTTAATGAATAATATAATAAATAATAATTATTATTATTAATATTAATTAATAATTGAATAATATACTTAATATTATATATTATTAAATTATTAACGTTAAATATTTATTATTAATTATTTAATATTTAAAAAAATAAAGAAAGCCAAAGAAGTATAACTTCTTACGCGCGTACATAAGTACACGCACCATTTTTTTTTAATTTTATAGAACTTGGGGCACTGGATTCGGTATTCGGAAGCTAGGCGTGACTGGAAGTGACTCCCGCACGTAATAATCCTATTGAATTTTGATAATTATCTAGATTTTGAGTATACCCTTAGTTAGCAAAATAAGAGTCAAGAGTAGTATTGTCTTTGATTAACATAACTTTTATTCATGTAATAAAACACTATTTTGACCGGATTGAAGTTATGTATTATTATAAATTTACAACTATTTAACGCGAAACGCGAAACGTCGGATAAATTTAAAATTATGTTAAATAGTTGTAAATTTATAATAATACATAACTTCAATCCGGTCAAAATAGTGTTTTATTAAGAGTCAAGAGTTATGACTGAACGTAATGGAATTAAAAATAGTTTGTAGAAAAATATCTTGAGACCTGTGCTTTTGTTCTTGCTTGCGTGCTTGAATAGTAAATTGAGGCACGAATTTGAAATCGATTGATTAAGGAATGTAAAACAAAATATGAAACCATGTATATGATAGATCAGACAGATGTTTCGCAAGTGCTTTGCCGGCCATTTAAGAATCATAATCGCATAGTTTTGGAACGACGGACCGTCGAGGTGACACGGGAGGAATTTCGTTCTCGACCTGATGTTAGCAGAAGAAACGGGAACATACGGACGGCTTCATGTTTTGTTATACATTCTTACTACGAACTGCTTTAAGATATTTGAATCTCTACTCTCTAAACGTGAAAAGCATTTAAAATAATCTAGAAGCGACTATATTATATGTTGTCTTAAAAGATCCAGACGGCGTGAAGCGATTATTGCACTTGTCTCTTTCCACAATATCGTGAACACAATTTGTCAGAAAGAGACAAATGAGCAAAAGCGTGTGAATTAGGGTTTTGGATAAGATTCCGTGTCGAGACTTGCAAAGAATTAGTACGAGTCTTTAGTCTAGACTTTGAATATTATCTTTAGTGTGCAATGCTAATAAAGCAGTATAAAATCTATTTATTTATTCATTTGCCAGATTAGACATGCAAGCGTTCCACTAACCGCCACCTCCTAAACCTTTGTACGCAAAAATGAAAAATAACGTTATATTTCTCGCAAGTTAACAAGATGCGTAGGATTTTGTCAATAAAACACGTTAATATATAAAAAGGTAGTAATCCCCCACATAACGCGATAGCTGGCTCGCGTTACAGGAAATCGCGTTAATAATGGTATTTAATTTTATAATAACACCATTGAAACATGTGCGGTAAAAGGTAAACTATTTATGGACTTGAAAAATTATTATAAATTTCACACATCACTCTCTCAATTTCACTCATTTTCAATTTACAGAAATATAACATGAGAAATCTCCACATTTTAGGAGGGAAACACCGCGTTATATGGGGTACGAAAAACGCGTTATAGGATTACTGTATATACGACATAAGGGTAAGATTAAAAAACGAGAGCGTAAATTATGAATTAAGTAAGTCAAAATCTAATACATTTTGACAGGTGTCACTGTCTTGACTCTTGTGTCTTAACTTTCATATGTCAAAATTCGCCACTACTGTCAAATCTTACCCTACAGGCTTAATTTTTAACTAGCTTTAATAAACTATTTGTAACTAGATATTTATTTTTAATGCGAAGATGAGAGACAAATGGAAGAATTTTGATTCATTTTGGTCATATTACATAAATATAATAAATGTAAAAAAATAATGTAATCCTTATTTTAGTACTTAAATATAAGCAATTTTTTTCTTCTGATCTATAATACCACAATGTTCTTGCGTATGTATGTATGCTTACCCATAACGTCTATTACGCCTTGCGTGAGGCGGAGCGTCCTCATTGCGAATATCATATCCATATATCGATACCAGCTCATCCCTCGATTTTGGCATCTGAAATAGTTAAATCTCATTTTAATATACTATTAGCTGATCCGGCAAACATTGTTTTGCCATGTATATTATTTCTAGGAAACTTTTTTTAGTTCAATAAAAATAACTATGATAAACAAATAGGGGTTGATCGAAGCGGGGTGAACATTAAGGGTTGTATGTATTTCTGTATGTCGTATCATAAAAACAAAAAAAATGTTTAAAAATTTAAAAACTTTTTTTTGGGGTGGACACTTAAGGGTTTGAAAGATAGATGGTAGCCGATTCTCAGACTTACTAATATGCATAAAAAAATTCATAAGAATCGGGAGAGTCGTTTCGGAGGAGTATGGGAACGAACATTGTGACACGAGAATTTTATATATAGAGATAAAAATCTATAGGTATGGTTTCTGGGATTTTTACAAGCCAAAAAGGCCCATTCCCAATATATTTAAATAGCAACTTAATTTGAAAGTTCAATAAGTATATTACCTGTTCATTTTCATTAAATTTGTCGTGAGACCATTTATTTACTGTTTCGGATTTGCGAGGCGCACGGCGTCTCTCAGCAGCCGGCTCAGAGCCTTCCTTCTTCTCGGAGGCTGTTTCTGATGTCGTGTTGCTTGATTCTTCACCACTGTAAATATGAACGTGATCTAATTATATTATTAGTATAGTACCCATCTCTTTTCAACACAGAGTTAACACTATTTGACCGAAAGAGATGTTTTGTATGGTGGTAAGTCTGAATATTAAAACACAAATTTTATAATAATTAGATATCACACACAGAATCAATGCAATAATACCACCGCCCATGGACACTCACACTTTTATAAGAATTGGTACGCTCTTTTCTGGAAGAACCCTAATTGGATGTATAAAGAAATTATACAGTCCCAAATGTACAAACTTCAAAATCGGAATAAATTAAGTGTCTATAAACCTATGAATATGTATTCAAAAACTTCTATACACAAGATGTTGAGATGAAGAGATTTCCCCTTTTAAAATATTATATTTTTAGCCTCCTGCCCGTTTGCCCCCTGTTCTAAAAAAAAAATAACCATTTCATATTCAAAGTGAAATTGTTGAATTAATTACATTAGGGAGCGTTCAAGTATTACGTAACGAATTTTGGGGGGGAGTCCTTTTGTAAAACGTTACGATGCGGGGCGGGGATTGAATTACGCGTTAATGTTATTTTCGACTTTTCAGTACTTTACACCACATAATGGTAACTTTTAGGAAAACGTTACGGCACGTTACATGGGGGGGGTTTAATTATCTCCATAAATTGCGTGACGTAATACTTGAACGCTCCCTTAGCTGTGCATGTAATCCATGAAAGGTATATCAAGTAATATAACAATGGCTGTCTTCATATGAAATCCATAAGACAATGTTAATTGAATATGTAAAACAAAGAACCCTCTTTCAATCTTTGTATAGTTAAGTATAAAAACTTATCAAACATTGCAGCTACTTCACAGTGATAAGTAAAAACTTATATTGAATTTGATTTACCAATTAGTTAACTCAATAAAGAAGCAAATGAAAGTAGAAAATATATGAATGAGAACTTTTCAATTTCGATGAATATTGCAAGCTGGTCCCAATTGTAGAGGAAAACAAACGGTAGGCAACTTATACCAGCGGTAAGTGGTAAAGCCATTGTGGTGCCAAATTTTAATGTGTATTTTAGGATCTTAAGGCTGCAGGGATTTCGAAATTGCTTTAAAATCGTCACGATTTGTATCACTGAAGTATGAGATAGGTAAATTCAATTAGTTTTTTAACGCAGACATAGCTGCAATGTTCTATAAGCTTCGATACTTAACTTTACAATGATATTATTTTTAAATAGACTGGGCAGAGGATTTCTAAGTTATCTCAATTTGAAACCAACAGTAAATTTATAACTAGGCTACAAGTTCTAATACATCGGAACCATTCAAGTGGAAACGGAAAAAGTAACTTTCTACATAATAATATTGAATTACCTACACGTGAATGAGCAGACGGGTCGACGTACGCGAAAATATACATTATAGGTTAATTTGGTAATTGTTCCATTGATGTACACAGTCTAATTAAATATTTTAATCGGCCTCTTTATCCCAAGTGACTTCAAAGATTTCAGTAAGAAGATAATAAAATTCCTTGCTTTATTAATGTGTATGTGTGTTTATGCTCTGTGTAAGGCTATTCTCAGTGTGAGTAGTTATTAAAAATCAATGTAATAGTTTAAGTAACAAAAAGTGATACCCTTAAATAAATAAAATGTACTAAATAAACTAGATTTTTTATTATTACACCACTCTTTGCAAGAATCAGACGATAAAATAAAGCAAATGATTTATTTATTAATCGTAAAAGGAGTTGAAAGTTTTGTTTAAAACCTGTTTGTATGACCTAGATATTAATTGCACTGAAGTTCAGTATTAAATATGTTTTCTAAATTTAATTTTGTTTATATTATTCATCATGATTGTTGATTCATACCACATTCACTCCAAAACATAAAATATTAATGACAATAATTGTATCAATCACTATTATAATAAAAAAACCCATTTTTAATAAATTGATGTGAGATGAGATGTCTCTTCTTTGAGAATTCTGTAAATACTACCTAAGCTACCAATTTTCAAAATTTTAATATTACCTGGCAGCTGTTCGGTCATCATGCTCATAAAATGTGCCCCGTTTAGGAATGTACTGCGGATTACTGCGGTCCTCATCATCATCTACACGCTTCTCAGATTCCTGAAAATATTAGATAAATGTATATAGTTTAAGCTTTAATAACAATTCTTAAATAATAATATACAACTTGGTGCAGTTATTTTACAACAATAACAAGCGATCTGCTAGCTTTAAATAATGGTAAGCACTGATATAAAACCATTGACTATAAACTAAAATTACCTGTGCTTCTGGATCTCTGTCAGAATGTTCAGCATCACTACCTTGGGAATCATAATCCGATTGTTGAGCAGCATCCTGAAAATCGTTAGCTACTTTCAACAATTGCATTTTAACTACACTGGCAATAATTAGCGAACTAAGGCTTAGCCTAAACACTGGTGAACGGTATTGACCTCAATCCAGAGAAATGGTCAAATGAGCATACCGACACGCGAGCGCGGGAGAAAGTACGCGACCGTAATACTTTTAGTAACTAAACGAAAGTTCATTGCATAAATTGCAAGCGTTTAACTTACGTTTCCAGAATTATTTTGCTCGATTTCTTGCGAGGCATCCGAGTATTCACCCGAATCATCCTGCTCACGTCTTCGAGCCACGGACGTCATTTCGCCGCCCTCGAGATTTACTTGTAAGACTTCCAGATTGAAGCCGTTGCCACACGATTTGTGAACAAATTATAGACCTCTATTTTTTTACTCACCACCTGGGTCAAGCCAATATGAAAGAATGTCAAATGCGAACTGAAATAAACAAGAAAATGTAGCGGGCAGCGGCCATAAAAAATTGGTTCCTATTTACGAAGTTGTTGTAATAACATAGACGCGTTTACAAATTTGAAAAATTTACTTTTTATTAAATAAGTGTGTTTAATAAAAGGTATTGTCTATGAAATACAAGTTCAAATTAAAGAAAATTCCTTTTCGATTATGAATTCAAGATTTTGATTGATATTTGAAATTTACGATTATTATTAGCAATATGCGTTTCGGCGTGAAATGAAGTGTAAAATATTGAATGAATGAATACACGACAACAGATGACGCTAAAACAATATAGTATTAAAAACATAGATTTTTACTCTACAATCTGTGACTTTTGTAATTATTGACAATGGTCATCTTTATATATGTCAAAACCACGGTTTCAAAACAAAATATATGTTTAGAAAATAAAAATATTCCCAAATAAAATTTTATACAACATATTTTATATCAAGTACAGTTATAGTTTCAGAGAGGTATTTATTTTACAATAGTGAAAACTTCTTAAAACGCATAATGGCTAACCCATCAGAAAGGTAATTTGTTAACGAGGTAGAATTTGTTTTTATTCCTTTTGTATTAATTGTATTCTTAATGTCAAAATAATATTATATCATTTTAGTACCATCCATTCCAATGAGTGTACTGATATGCCTGAAGATATCAAAACTGTTCAATTACTAGCCAAAGGACTCTTAGAACTGTATGAACCTCCACTTGTGACCATTAAAACTCATTTGAAAGAATTAACGTAAGTAACAATAATAATTATAAGAACCTGTAAAAAAACTAATACTGTTTACAAATTTTTAAAGAATGTTTTCTGTAGCTTCTTGTTATTTTTAGGGATAAACAAGATGCAGTTCATAACATGCTGTTATCAGAGAGACGAAGGTTGGAAGATCTTCAAAATGATGTAACTCTAGATGCTTTAGTAAGTCACTGCTTATCTATTCAAAGTGTAGTATTATTTTGGTAAACAATAAAATTTGGTTACTAGTATTTTAGTATTAAAATGAAAAGTTAGTTCCGATTTTATAATATACAATTTTAATATACGTAGTCGGTCCCAAAGTTCTGTCATAAATGGAAATAATCATAAAAACAAAAGTACTGATCAGTTTTTAATGAGTGATATATCAATTCATAGTACATTAATTAAGGAATAGAAATAGCATAAACTTATTCGAAATGACCTCCCTTATTTTTAATACAGGCCCTTAAGCGCCGCGGCCAGTCGTCTATCGCAGCACGCACCATATTCATGTCGATTTCAGTGACTGAGTTTTTTAAAGACGACTGCAGACTCTCCAAATTTTTATGGGGTGTATCACAGACCTTCCTCTCTAAGACCTGCTAAAATTTATAGTCCAAAAGATTAAGGTCCGGACTGGAGGAAGGCCAATCCTCATGTCTAATTAAATCGATGTTTTGACGCTCAAACCAGGCTTTAGTGGTCTTGGCTTTGTATGCAGGCTCAGAGTACTGCTGGAACACGAAGTGATGTCCCGCAAATAGGGTGCTGGACAGGTCTTTGACAAGGCGATCCAAAACCGTCTCTCGGTACACTTTAGCTCTGGTTTTGACCCCCTTTTGCAAAAATGAACCTCAGTTAGCCCGTAATAGGACACTCCCAACCAGACCATTACTGATGATGGATGATGTCCATGTTGTACCCTTGGAACTTTAATTTTAGCTTCTTCAGAACTCCTAGCGTACACTGTATCAATCTGTTTATTGTACTTCTCTTCATTATCGAAATTTTTTCGTCCGTAAAGAGGATATCACGGTGTCGGTTTTTCGCGTACCGCTTAAACAACACCCGCGATCTCTTAAGCCTTATTGCTTTTAGACGAGCATTAAGTAAGTTCCCACTTTTTTTTTGTATGCTCGTAGACCAAGATCTTCATTTAAAACCTTTTTTATTGTTTTCCTACTGACAACCATCTGCAAAGCCATCAACTTCTGTTTTCGGACAGAATTTCTTACTATCCGCGCTTTGATAGCTTTGATTACTGCTGGTGTTCTTGCGGAGCGTGGCCGGCCAGTTATTTTCTTGTCCTCAACACTGGAGACTTCAAGGTACCTATCAATAGTACCGTACACAAACCTAAGCGTTATATTAAAATTTTTGAGCAACTTGAAAATGGTACTCGGCGAGTGCCCACAGCGGTGCAACACAATAACAACTATTCGGTCTTCTTTCAATGTCCACTCCGTCGTGAAAACTTACTGAAAGTTATTGTTTTTTATTTTAAAACAATAGTCAAACATTCCAAAATAGAATGCAATAACTTTTTTATAAAATCCTGCTCGAAATATAGAAATAATGTGCCAGTGACAGAACTTTGGGACCAACTACGTAGATAGTGGAAATTTCACTCAAAAATTTCTTAAGAAATTTTAATAGAATACTAGTTTTAGCTGTTTACTTGTTATTTGTGTATTGTTTGTATTTATTTCAGTTGGCAGATGTCGCAACAAGCAAAGAAAAACTTAATTCAATATCAAATGCAATGATTACTTTACATAAGAGAGTGCACTCCTTACAAGTAGGTACACTAATATTTAGAAAAAGGACTAACACATCAAAATATTAAGTAATTGTTAACAATTTTAATAGCTATAGGAGTCATATATGACATTAAAACTAAAATAAATTTCTTATATATTCTTGTATTAATATAATATTTCTTTGAAAATTCTTGTACAAAAAATTAAATATATGTTGTTACCCACTGCTAATAGGTAATCAGTGATTGATTCCTGTTTTGCCATACAAAAGTTTTCAATAAATGTCGTTAGTCCATTCCTATTTCTAGAAAACTTGAAACTATTAATTATTTATTGAGTCAGCTATTGTCTTGTTAGTGAAACACATATATGAATTTTAATTATAATAAAAAACTATACCACTAAGTGCATGGAGATTAAAGAATTATTTTTTACAGGCCCGGGCTGCCAATGTGGAGAAAGTGGCCAAGAGCAGAGCTATCCAAAGTCCATCAAAAAGTAGTTAAAATACTGGAAAGTGCATGATGGACACATAATAATTTTTGATCCAAAGTGTATAGAAGCTTTATCTATGTTTGAATTTTTCTGTTTGATAATTTATTTTTAGTTAGCTAGTTCTATTCACATTTTAATTGCAAAGAATAATTATTTATAAGAATTTAATATAGGTATAAGCTATTTTGTTGTATAGGGTTAATAATATTTGTTGAATTGAAAAACAAAAACATTTTTAAATTTTTATTAAACTTAATAAAATATACATTTCCTTATTGTGATAAAACTGTGCATTCCATTAAATTGTGTAATAAAATAGTTATTGTCTATGAGATATATTTCCTAAGGCTAATGTTACGTTGTCACTAAGACTAGTTTTAAGTATGTAACCATTACATTGTAAATGGCAGTTGGTTAAATAAATTACTATAAAGCATTTGTTTCAATTTTAAATGTTTACAAGTAATGTGCGCATTTAAATGTTCTTTAAAAAATATGTTCTAAGCAAGACACAAATTTTAGTGATTAAAAAAACACTGTTTAAATTCAAAATTGAGAATTAGAGTAGGTATTTGGCTAACATATTTCTTCTTCTGTTTCATATGATTTATTCTTAGAACATATTTTAACATTGTATATAAACAAATGTTAATGATTGACTTTGAGGGAAGTCCTGAAGATAAACATGTTATTGTTAACATAGTTTTGATGGTATCATTTCGATATAAAGGCAACATCAAAGGAAGTCTTCAAATGCCTTATCAGATTACATTCCATTTAGATGTTTTCATATCACTAATGTCTTGACATTGAGAATTAGAATTCTTCGAATATGTCATTAACGTTAGATCAGTGTTTCCCAACCTTTTTTGTGCCCCACGTATGCCTTTTTCAAATTCTTATGTTTTTATACATATTTTTTTTAATAATAAAAAACTTAAATGATAGGTATTTGTAAGAAATTACTAGGAAATCGTTAACGAAACAAAGTAAGTAATTTTTAAAACATAAACACTGAAATTCAAATTCCAAATAATTTTAATAAATTTTCGAATAGCCCCTCTTAACTGAAAGTTGAAACTATTAAATTTACATGAAACTATTTAATTACTTTAAGTATCGTTTTCTTAAATGACAAATCTTGTCTAGGCGCTAAATGTCAAACTTGACAGTGAAACGGTTTGATAGGTTCCAGGATACTGACGTTATGCACCATTAATTGATAGATTAAAGCTATGCTTATAGGCCTTTAGGCAGTGCTCATTAAATAGTCTAAAAAATATGGGTTTTTAGTAGGGTAGAGCGTAGACCACTTACTAGTATTGAATTTTAATATTAATCAACGTAATTTGCATAAGACCCCAGTTTTCTACTAAAAATCTCTTGATTAGGGATTTTGGCTAAGTACTACTTTTTCGTTAGTTAATAATTTTCCGTCGTTTTGTAAATTATAAAATCTTGTGGTACACGATCTTAACGTAACTTATAGCTATTTAATATTAACTAAGCTTAATATCGTAGACATATTTTCGTTCATATGAAGCTGTCACAAAGTTTTACATTCCTTAGTCTATCTTAAGTACTAGGTAATAACTTAATAAAAAGCAAGTCACACTGAAGATTAGCACCGAAACAACCAATTGAATAATTTATATATATAATATAGTTATATCAACTTTTAGATTAAAATGGGAATTATAATCAAAGTAAGGTCCTGATAAGTTTTAAACTGTTTTTATCCAGCTTAAATAAGTTTAGGTATGTGTAAAAAACATAATAGTTATTTTGAAGCAAATTTTTGACAGCTTAAATGTCACCCAATAAAACGATAACCTTCAAAATATCACATTAACCAAAATCTCGTGTCGTATTCAAGAGAATCAGTCCTCTGCTGGTTTTTATAGTCTTCGTGACTACGCACAGGGGAGTGATGAGGTGGATCCTCTGTTATTTCTTCTGGTTGGCTTCCGTGACGTCACTCAGCACGGTAACGACGAATGATTCGATATCAGATTCGTCCACTCCTCTGGCGATGCGGAAGTAGCCGTTCTCACCCCATTCCGTGCCCCAACTGTTGGCTACCGTCTGAAACAATTTAAAGGTTGCTGTGGTCAACAATTTGATGTACATTTCTCATGTTTTTTGTCTTATCTTACATAATATAATACTTGTGTGATATTTGAAACATATATTATATTATGTCTATTGGAAAATGTAATATAGTAGATATATGCCAGTGAAAATGCATTCTAATGGTGAAATAAATTTTGTAGTTTTTGTGTGAAAACGTTACAAACATACATTCAAAAACACAAATGTTTCCTCTTTATAATATTAATATAAATTAGAATAGAAAGGTATCTTAGGTAACGAAATCATTATTAATTTTGTAAAAAAAATCGATAAATTGTAAAACTTTGATAAATTGTTGACAATCGTTAATAACTTTTTCGTTCATACCATAATCAAAATCTGACGTGTGTGTGGAAAAAACATTTCAAACAAATAGAATACAATGAAAATCTATACCTCTCATTATTTTACATTGAAATATTCTTTGAATAGTCATCACATAATATACCTAATATTCTTCGTTCCACTAAACAGAATTGCTAGAATGTGCAATCGGCTACTATCTTGATATTTTCGGATAGGCAGGGTCATATTTAGAAATCTGGAGGCCTTGGGGCAACAAAAGAGTGTAGGCCCACTGGCCCCAAATGATATTCCAAATGTAAAAAAAATTCTGTCGAGTTTTTCAATCAATAATTTATTGTGAAACCAAGTAGATGCTTTAGTATTAATAAAAATATATAAAAAAAAAATCCGAAGTCTCCTTTCTGGGGGTCATCTTCTGTGGAGGGCCCCAGAAAGTTGCCCTCCCCTAAATCCGCCATGTTGTTATTATATAGACATCTTTGTGCCATCCTTATATCGAAGCCACATTGGTTATTTGTATAACTTCTTTCTTATCTTTTTTTATTATGTGTGTATAAATGAATAATATGTGCAAATGTAGGGACTTACCCAATATTTGTCGCCTCTCTCCTCACCCCATCCAATAATCCTCACACTGTGAAGACCATTCATACGATTGTCGCCATGTCTGCTTCGTCGATAGATACCATCACGGTAGTGGAAGAAATCTTGGTACACCGTCATCACAGCTGTTGACAAAAAACCATGTTAAATCTAAAAAAATCAAAATCCACTTATAAGACAAACCACAAAGATAGACTCCAAAATACTCAGGTAGCAGTGGCGTAACAATAGGGAGGCAGGGGTGGCAAAATGCCACGGGCCCCCGACCCAAGAGATGTTAGGTTCTATGGATGAATGTGAAGTCTCCAATACGCATTGGGCTAGCATGGGGACTACAGACTATTCCCTCTCGCCTAAGAGAGGAGGCCTATGGCCATTAGTGGGACATACACAACGTGTAATTGAGTACGCTGTACATCTCGAAGTTTAGATATTAAAATTAAACTGAGTCCAACGTGACGATTTTTACTGATAGGGCCCCATCAAAAGAATTTGCCACGGGCCCCGGGTATAGTTACGTCACTGTCAGTAAGTATTATTGTCATTATTCTTAACAGGCAAGTACGCGATCCGCCTTCTATGAAACATACCATCAAATCATTGGTTGAATGCATCGTTTGTCAAACCCTTTTTATGTCGCCACGAAAAAGCCAAAAATTTAGAAAAACAGTCTTGCGAATCCCGTCACTGTAACTGATTGAAGTGAAACTTCTAATGCGACTTCCAACAAGGTTGGGATAAACGTTTAACGCTCCTGGGGAGGGGGAATAGAAAGAGACAGAGCGAGACTGAATGCGGCGAACTCGAACGCATGCGCGAAGTATACCCGTTACAGGCCAGCGCGAGCGTTAGCGTTACAGCGTCCAATATTCCAACGAGAGAGAAAGAAAGATACATATAGAAAGTAGGAGAGAGAAAGAGAGTGAGTCGGTAGATCCCAAGCACATGCGCGTGGTATTCTAGCTATGCAGCGAAGTAAACAGTGTGTGCGTAGTGTAATTAGCTGAAATACGTACTTGTTTTTCTATTTTATTATTCTACTAGCTGACCCGGCAAACGTTGGTTTTGCCATCTATATTATTTTTAGAAAACATATTTTTAGTTCAATAAAAATAACCATATACAATAATAAAAAATCGGGCTTGATCGTAGAGGGGTGAAAATTAGGGGTTGTATGTACTTTTGTATGCTGTATCATAAAAAATAAAAACAAACAAAAATTCTAAAAATATTTTTTTTTGGAGTAGACACCCTTTATCACTTAGGGGTTTGAAATATAGATAGTAGCCGATTCTCAGACTGCATGCATAAAACATTTCATAAGAATCGGTCGAGCCGTTTCGGAGGAGTATGGCTTGAGACTTAGGATAGTTGAATTTTATAAGTATATTAGATTTTAATTTATAATAAATACCTACTTATTATTTAATTTACAAAGATGCGATCAATTGTCAATTGTAATCAATGTTAACAAAGTTTGTCTTAAAGAAACAATATGATTTCACTAAAAATCAATTCCTATTTTCATTTCCACATTACGAAGTTTCACTTCTTCCACGTTCCACGGACTATTTTTGATGTACATAGCGCGCTATTTTTAATAATATTTTGTACCTATATTATGTAGTTTGTATTAAGTTTACAATAAACTCGACCCCCTGCTTAAGCCAAGCTTACCCAGCTTTTAGAAACGAAATTTAGCGTTAAATCTAAGTGAACTTCCGTTCGTCAGAAATGTATTGGACACACAAAAGTCAAAGTTCGCGCTAGATCTTCATACTGATTATCTCCCTAAGACACCATTTTTCTCACGATGTTTTCCTTGAGAGACTATTTAATTATTAATATTTATTATGCCCATAATAATTAACCTTTATACGTCAAAGTATTTCGCTTATCTTAAAAATCGTCGTCATTAAATAACAATTAATCATCATATCTTTTGAAGGATAAAAGAGATATTCCCAGAACACTTCCGTGTCGTTTGAAGTGCGCCCGTCGCTAAATACTTGATTTATCTATCTTAATTATCTATGTAAATCATTAATAGGAAGTATTTTTTAATCAACGCTTAAAATAGCTTTAAACGTGTTACAGTTACCATGGAGACTCTTCAGAGGAGTAGTTCGGACTAATCCAGCTGAGTTTCATCATCAGACGTTAACGCAAAATACCATCCGTATCACCTCGACGTCCGTTGTTCCATAACTGAGCGTTTCTAAGGGAGTTTTTGATTCGCACTACTACTATGTGGGACCAGCTGCCCACTGAAATATTTCCGATCCAATTCGACTTAGGGTCCTTTAAGAAAAGAGCGTACCAATTCTTAAAAAGCCGGCAACGCACTTGCGAGCCTTCTGGCAATGTGAGTGTCCATAGGCGGCGGTATCATTTAACATCAGGTGATCCTCCCGCACTACTCGGATAGTTGCTTATATAGCAGGTACTTGACAGGACATATCACTGAGAACCTAAAAAGTGCTGGGGCATACGGCAAAACATTTTTTTCTAATGAGGTAAGATGAAACAGAATGTGTCAAAATTTTCAAAAAACGCAACTGGACGAGAATTTCCACTTTCATGCTTGGACAGTGAGCCTGTTAAAAAGACGTATTTGGTTCGTGTACTTATTAGATTAGATCTATTAACTTAAAATATATCTCATCTGGTCAAAGTCCGCAAAAAGTCCACATAAACATTCTTTATTATTTTTACCTCAGTAATTAACCTTTAAAAATGCCTCAACAAACGTTCTTTCACAACAAGAACCATTGATGCGCTTATCAAATGGGGGCAAAGTGTTTGCTTCCGATAAAAAAAATTGTACAAGGTCGCGATAAAGTGCCTTTTCTTGTTAGCATGTACTTTCTAGGATTAGAAGTGATTGTTTTTGATAACACCTAGATTTGTTCTGTATTTAATTTATAAACTTGTTTTTAATTTTTGAACGAGGTTTTCAGGCCATCTTCACGTGGCATTTAAACTTAAACATTTTTTGACCAAGAATGCTGGAAAGCACTAGAAATATCTGATATATAAAATTCTCGTGCCACAATGTTCGTTCCCTTACTCCGAAACGGCTCGACCGATTCTTATCATTTTTTTATGCATATTCAGTAAGTCTGAGAATTAGTTACTATATATCTTTCATACCTCTAATGGTGCGTTCCACTAAGCGCTCACAACGATCAAAATGCTCCTTTAGCCATTCCACATACCGACCGCGGTCGTTGTGGTCACGGCGAAAACGTCACTCATGACGTCATGACTGACGCTCACGTCACGATGAATGCTCACGCACCTCTTTAGATGGGTCGTTGTGAACGTTGAGAATAATTTGGCGCAATTTTTGATTTTTTTTTTGAAATATGACAAATAATAATATTATTATATTCAAAGCTTAAGGATGGCGACAAGAAAATTCACATACATATTATTATTATTATTTATACATTTTTCCTGAATAATGGATAGCATAACCTAACTCAATGTAAACGATATTTATTTTCATTAATAATATATATATATATTTGGTAAATTTATTTTATTTGCAGATGTATTTTTTGCAACTGAGCTATGAAGAAAAGCTGAAGCTTCCGCATCTGTTCAAGTAGATCAAGAATTTATTGAAGAGACTTCAGAGAGTTTTATTGAAGAACGGCTTGATAGTGATAATCTCAACTCTGAAACTCCACAATTTGAAGGTTTAAGGTTTAGTTTCTAGAGCTTTATTGCGATGCATGAGCAAATATCCAACTGCCGTCAAAGCCATTTCGATTATATTTAAACTTAAGTTGTTTGATAACTTCACCAAAATTATTTATAAAATATTCAATTATTCTTCACTTTTAACATAAATAAAATTAAGTCACAATTATCAAAACTTATTGTTTATGATTACCTAACCTCCTTAAAATTCTACTATTTTCAAACTTGTCATTTGTAATATTTACATGAACGCCCGAAACGCTCCATAATCCATTCCACTTGAGTTAACGACAGTAACGTTCACAATCAAGTGGAATGGGGAAATCAGCGGTCGTGAGCGTGAGCGTTGTGAACGCTTAGTGGAACGCACCATAAGTGATAAGGGGTGTCCAAAAATTTTTTTTTTTTACTATTTTATTATGTGGCGTTAAACCCTAAATTTTTACCTCTACGATCAATTTAGTATATTAGATAGTTATTTTTATTGAACCTAAAAATATGTTTCAAAGAAATAATATACATGGCAAAACAACGTTTGCCGGGTATGTATACAAAAATAATCTCAAAATATTATGCGCAATGCACGAAGACGGCTAGACCAATTCAAGTATTTTTTATGTTCTCCTTGAAATCTAAGAAAGATTTTTATGGGGAGAAATTTCTGAGTTTATTTTGTAGGTAGGTACTGGCAACCCTAATATGGAACAATAAAAAAAAGAAACACCTACAGACGGTGAAGTACAGATGTGCATAACAATAACTAAAAAGAACACAAAATAACACTAACTATAACAAAAGTAAAGTACAATCTAAAGAAAATAAATACTAATAATAAAATTAATATGTATAAACAAAATGGTAAAAGCTAATCCAAGGGTAAATTGAGTCACAATTACTATATATAAGTAGCTAATTACGAGGCAGAAGAAAAATCATCAAAAAGAAGATTTTTAAATGTTTTTTTTTTATTTTTATGTTACCTTGAAATATTGTAGCCTATTTTGGTACCCAACTTGTCAGCAAGTAATAACCCAAAAAAGCCCTCATTTCATCAACCCCGATAAACCTATTAAAATATAACTTACCCTGTACTGGACCTGACTCCATGATATCATACATAATATCCTCTTCCTTGCTCAACCTGCCGGGAGGTCCGACCTTGTATCTTGAGGTCCTCTGCTTCACTGGAGGTCTACAGCCATCGTCTATGAGATTACCTCTTGGCTTGAATGGGCAACGTACAACGGATGCTTTGTAGGGGAAACAGCGCTCGTCTACCAACCTGAGAAAACAAAACAATTTTACGACTATCCAAATATTACAATACGTTGGTTACATTATCTTCTTGTACTTCTTCTACTCCTCAATAACTTCTCTAGCAGCGTTAGAAAACCGACACCGAAAAAAATTGTAAGGAAGAATTTAGTACCGAAAAACATGCCTTGCCCTACACCAAAGATACCTATCAAAGAAACTCTTGCTTATAATGAAAAACAATAAACGAATGATAAGTTTTATTTATTTATTGAAGTACACCACATTATATATAATGCATTTACTGTATATGTTACAAGCTATCTATTCTAAATTATATGACAATTATGGTGAAACTTTTGCAAAAAAAAATGACACTTCCAATTTTAGTTTTTACTAGTAATTGCTTAACAACGCAGATAAGGTACCAGATAGGCACTGAAAAATGCTTTTTTTTTAAATTGATCAGCCCACTACCGAATATATCAAGCTCTGGATAAGTAGAGTTTGTTCTGTTATTTTCGCGAAGAATTTGAACGAGAGGTGCTTGAACTGCTAGGCTGGTTTTTGCAGACGGAATTTAGAAAATTCTACTGATTTCGAACCTTGGGAAATAATAGGGGACGACAATGTATGTCAGAGGTTTCTCTTCTGTATTTGACCATTTAACACTTGTATAAGAACGTAGCACCGGCTAGAGATCTCCGATCGTACAGTGACATTTTGAATTTCCTAAGTCGCTGATGGTACGGGTGCGTATGAGAAAATCCTGTACTTCAGTTTTATAATAGAACTAGCAGACCGGCCAAGCGTTGCTGTGGCTAAAGTTTTTGTTATATTACATAGTAGTAAACTATTCAAGGGAAACGGTAGGAGAACTTATGTGAAAGGTAGTTAGCTTATGTGAAACGTTGGTACTTTTAACACAGCGCCATCTGTTAGAATTGTATCAATTAATAAACAAATATTTGAAATAAAATAATATTGCGGGTATAAATTGAGATGTAAGCTATCCTATCTTTTAAGTTAGATCAAACCGCACACGGTGTGCAAATTTGATTGATATCGGTTCGGTAGTTTAGGAGTTCATAGCGTACAAACAACGTGACACGTAATTTATATATATTAAGATTAATTCTAAAACATTTATTTTTAATAAAACCGTCTCCGAAGAGATTATTGTATCGAATTGTTTGATATGTTATTTTTCTCGCACAGTGTGAAATGCGATATTTTACACATTGACAGTCTAAACATGTACTCGTTATATTCCGATAAGGGCTATTGTTTACATTATATCACTTTATTTGCTATCACAGGTGAGAAAATATAACGAGGCGCGATTTGTGTAACCTAACATAAATTACACATATATATATATTACTAAATAATTAGAAGCGTAAACAAAATGTAAACAATAATCGCTCACTTGAAGCCAATATAAGTTTTTTCCACACTCATAAATTGTAATACAATATTCTTACCCGTGCCCTCTAGCGAAGTTCCAGGCGACATCAATATGTCCTCCTCTGCAGCCTTGTTGCTGACGGATGTTGCACGAAAGAAGAGTTTGCGGACTGAGCGCCAGGGCTTCCGCTCCATTTGATTGGATTGCGAATCTGAAACACGTAATGTTTATTTAGTTTATTTTCATTTATTTAAAATGATAAATCGTTTGCATAGAACGAACATTAATATTGATCAATTATAAAAAGAACATAATGAGCTATATAGGAGAGTTTATTGCTAGTTCTTTTCTTCCGTTCCACGCCCTTGATTTGAGAACTGGCAGTAAATGTAAAATTAGAAGCATTTAATATATATTTCTTTTTTGACGTTCATAAGTGTACATTGTGTTACCTATATGAATAAATGATTTAGATTTTTTTTTTGTTGATAAAATAGGCATATTAATTATCATAATTATGTTATTATGTATAATTATGAAAACGTATGTTCTAAATACTCTCCCATTAAAGGTACCGTGCTATTAAAAATCTAATCAACTTTTCCTCAAACCATTACACGGCAGTGATCTATAACTTCTAGGAAGGTGATTAAATAGTTTGATACCCATGGCGTAATTTTTTTAATACATCGTGGTGAACATGCACCCACAACCGTGTTAGATCCCTTGATAGATACTTTTTAAATGTTTTGAATAACTTTCGATGGTTATAAAACTTGGCGATTAAAGAGATTGGCGGAAAGTTTATTGCCAGTTCTTCTTTTCCGTTCAACGCCCTTTATTTGAGAACTGGCAGAAAATGTAAAATTAGAAGCATTTTATATATATTTCTTTTTTGACGTTCATAAGTGTACATTGTGTTACCTATATGAATAAATAATTTTGATTGATTGATTGATAACTGCTTCTACTTAGGATATATAAACTTAGTATGTACTGTTAAAATGTATGTGTAATGTCCAACCGTGTGAATTTGGGACCTTTTTCGTGGTCCTGAATTCTAATTATTTCGTAGTACAAGGCATATCCAGGCACTGTTATCTCATATACAGATTTTAATGTGCTATCGTATAAAATTACGCTTCGCAACACCTGTGTTATCATAAGCATATTAAACTTGAGCTGATGATAGTGCATTTGAGTATAAAAGCTATGAGGGTTTATTGTTACCAATCCAGTTAATTATAAAGTACTTAATTATATGTAAAGATTTTATTTCATTGCGTAAATAAAACTTTATACTTAGCAAATAAGTTAGAAATACGCGGTAAATCGGTCTTAATAAATGGAATTTAAAAAAAACTAACAAATAGAGCCTAAAAAGGAACCTTTGTTTCGCTTTGAAATAATTGCGGTGGGGTTTTATTTTTAAGATTAATTTTAATAAATTTACGATAGTTTACTTTATTCATATCTTTGTACAGATAATACAAAATGGAATTGAATATGTTTAGGGATACGAGAATTCTAATAAGTATTAAAAACTCGGTAGTAAGATATTCATATACATGAGAAACATTTAAATGTAATCATTATGAATTCGCTGAAGGTAGACGATTTAAATTAAGCCTAGAGGGATTTATATGGACCCACTCAATAAAATCATACAGTATTTATTCAAAGTGTATAGTAAAATTAACTTTTTACACTGTTAATAAGGTTTGGTTTAGACTGCAACTGAAGGCTTTTCAAGGGCCCGAGTTATTTTTAACTGAAGTGTTCAAAGCCTCATTGTTTGTTCTCTGACATAGTTCGCATTCCAAAGTATGTTTTGTCTTCGCGTAGATCAGCTCCTACTCTATTCACTCTTGGAGTGGTCCTCAATTTGAGTTCTGGGCGAATAAAATGTTTTTATTGTAGTGGTTTCATGAAAAAAAAAGTGCGTGCGTACAAAGTACACATGTCCGAAGCGAAACTTCTTTAGCAAACGAATTTTTAAGTCTTCTTCATATTTATACAAATCGAAAACTTTTGATTTCCGAGGACTTGGAGGGAGGGAAAAAGGAAGATATATTATGTTTGGAATTTAATGAATTTAATTTTTTAAATTTATTTCTTCGGTAATAAAAACACGTGGCATTTTAATTTACAATTCGTCATTTGAGATTTCAATAAATTATTTTGCATAAAATATAAAATACTAATACATATTTCATAAATTCTCTTTACGAAATTTTAATTTAAAAAATATAATTACTATAAGGTACTTCTCAATCGATCTCTCCCTTCGACCAAATCGCTGCACATCTTCGCGACGTTTTCGTAAAAATTTACCCTGATCGCCTTATGCGCGTTTATTGCCAGTTGTTCTCTTCCGTTCTACGCCCTTGATTTAAGAACTGGCAGTAAACGTAAAATTAAAAGCATTTAATGTATATTTCTTTTTTGACGTTCATAAGTGTACATTGTGTTACCTATATGAATAAATAATGTTTGACTTTTGAAAGAAGTTTCACTTCAAAAACATTTAGAAAACAACCAACCAAGAATCTTGCTAAAAATCTTAAAAAAGCCGGCAAAGCAATTGACATTGTGAAGGCGGTATCACTTTATAAAAATAACTTAGCACCTTGAAAACCGCTATTCATCATACCTGTCAGAAGCAACACCAGCAATTGACACAGCCCAGTCAGATCCACACCAGCCCTGGTCCACCACAGGGGAGATGAAGTTCGGCCAACGTCTGCGAGCATCGAAGTTCTGAGGGTAGGGAATGTTCTTGTCGTATCGAATTGCTCCCATTCGCTTCGTTTCACGGCTTAGAGGGAATGTACCTAAAAGAAAAGAGCCATTAAAACCCCCAAAATAACTGGCGTACGCAGGACACTCATTTATATATGCTAGCTGCCCCCGCAAACTTCGTTTCTCCTTAATGTGATTTTACTAAGCCAACCTTTTTAGTACCAACATAGAACATTATGCTATGCTACCCCAGAGAATGTTCAGTTTTCCGGAATGAAAACTTTTTAGGTTTTTCTGTGAATTTTTCTCTATAAATAAACCTCGGAGTTCAAGTCATAAGTTTTAATTAACAAATAAAACATAGGGGCTGATCGTAGAGGGGTAAAAATTAAAGGCTGTATGTATTTTTGTATGTGTATCATAAAAAAAATATCTAAAAAATAAAAATTTTGGGGTGGACCCCCCCTAATATTTAGGAGTTTGAAAGATAGTTAGTAGCCGATTCTCAGACCTACTGAATATGCATTAAAATTTCATAAGAACGAACATTGTGACAAGTGAATTTTATATACATATTAGATTAAGAGACGTATTATTCTATATTGGTAACGGAAAAACAAAAAAATACATTGTGCGTGTACTAGGTGAACACACGTAAGAAGTGAAACTTCTTTATGATCTTATTTTTCGAAAAATGATCTATACGTACTATATGCAACTTTACAGAAACTAGTTAAATTAGATAAAGTTTAACAAAAGGCTTTTATTATCATAGACATGAATACAAATATTTCATTTTACCTTATTACTACGAAGATTATTATAGAATTTCATTAATTGTAATAGAATTATTACTATCATTGAAAAACGTGACGATTTGCTACAAAATATCTCCCATACGTCGATAAAGAAGTTTCATTCCAACGCCGATAAAGAAGTTTGACTTCAAAAAGCAACATGGCGCGTAACCGAAAAATGTTTATTTATTTATTTATTTCTCCACATCACTATCTTTACAGGCTAACCTAATACAATAGTGTGGTCCTTAAATCTAACCTATCATAATAGAAATAAATTAAATCACTCCCTGTTACATTTTGTATATAATAATGATAAAGAAATGCTTAAAATTGGTGAAATAATAATTACTTAGACTAAAGGAATGAACGTAAATATTTTTAAAATATTACATAAGTCTTGAATTTTAATGTTACAATAAAATTGTATTTTGTTTTGAACAATGTAAATATTAATTATAACATATAACATAAAGTGCGATTTTTGTGAACTCACTCAGGGAACATGTAAAAAGATCTGTGCCGTCCGCTACTTCATTGAGTATATGTAAGGTGCGCGTTATCGCAGCTTTGCCTAGCAAATTTGTTCTAGCACTGGGCACTGCTAGTAGACGTGGACGCCGCCTACGCCACACGTAATTGTTGGGTACACATAGGTTAATCTCTTTCAAGACCCCCGGATTCGACGTCTTACCACGCAATAATTTAAACATATACATGGCAAGAGCCATGTCCCTCCTTGTCTCCAATTTGTTGTATCCAACCATGCCTATAACAAACAAGGTTGGATACATCAATGGATAAAATGGGTATACTCCATACAGCCTTAGGTACAAGAACCGAGTAAATTTATTTTGGATACGTTCCAACATGAGACTATACTTAGCTTCATGTGGAGCCCAGATAATTGCGTTACTTTCTAACTGGCTTCTCACCAATGCATTATACAAAGTGGATATCGCAGTGATGCTAGTGAACCCTCCCACTCTTCTGAGTACAAAGCCCAAGCTTCTATATGCTTTTTTACATACATTTTGTATGTGATTACGAAATGTTAGCTCAGCGTCCAGGTTTACCCCCAAATCGCGCACTGTATCCATCCTTTTAAGTACTGTGTTATTCAGGGTGTAGTTGAAGTTGATGGGTTTCTTCATCCGGCTGAAAGTTATAATTGAGCACTTAGAGGTATTGAAAAACAGTTTATTTTTCTTACTCCACTCATCTACCCTATCAATATCTAACTGAAATCGCTCACAATCTCCTTCTTCTCTTATGGCGATAAGGAGTTTGAGATCATCCGCAAACAACAGACATGTGGCATCCCTGACTACGCCTGGCAGGTCATTTATCATAATAATAAATAGAAGAGGTCCTAAATTACTACCTTGACTCACACCCGATCTCGTATAGTAGGGTTCAGATTTATAACCTGCATATTCGACATACTGTTTCCTGTCCCTCATGTGATCCGCAAAAAATTTTAACAATTTGGGAGTGCATCCGACTGTTGCCAGCTTAGCTAATAAGATGTCATTATCAACCATATCAAATGCTTTTTGAAAATCAAAGTATGCGGCGTCGACCTGCACCCCTGAATCCACACTAGGAACTACATAAGTCATAAAATTCAGCAGGTTAGTAGTCGTACTGCGATTACATCTGAACCCATGCTGCGCGTCCGATAGCGTAACTTCAACTTGCCTCAAAACAGAATGGTGGACTACTGTTTCAAATACCTTCGCTGGCGCCGACAGAACCGCCACTGGCCTGTATCCGTTTACTTCCGATCCTCCTTCACCCTTAGGTACTGGTATCACCCGTGTAAGTTTCCAGCGTTCCGGGAAACAGGCCGACTCAAAGCAAGTATTATATAAATAAAGAAGTGGGTACGTTAGAAAATCCCTACAGTCCCTAATGATAAATGCCGGTATGCCATCCGGTCCCGCGGAGCGCTTTGGTTTCAGCTTTATTAGTGCCTCCCTCACCTGATTCGCGTCAAAACTTGCAATATGTACTCGGGCACTGCTCACCCCGCTCTCCGCAACGGCCGCCTCCCAGTCTAATTTTGCTATCCGCGGACTGTAGACCGATTTAAAAAAATTCGCAAATTCGTGCGCACATTCAGACTCCGCTAAATTATTACCGTTTTTAGTAATCGTTTTATGATTAACAGAACCTTTTTTACATCTTACATAATCCCAAAAAGATTTGGGATCTCTCGTGATATTACGTTGCACATTATCCTGGTATTTTTCATGGGTTGATGTTATCATCTGTTTAACGTGACGCGTAACGAAAAAATGTTACACTCAATTTTTTTCCAACCTCGATAAAGAAGTTTCACTTCAAAAATTCTTTCACTAGCTACATTATGAGTAGTGTTTTAAGATTTCTGTATCTGTTTCATGATTTTTCAATCTAATAGGCAAGTACCAGCCTCCTGTGCCTGAATCATCAAGGCAACGTTTCCTTACGAATGCGTACATAGAAAGAAAGTCCCTTGGTGCACAGCCCCGAACCTACGACCACAGGGATGAGAGTCGCACGCTGTTACCACTAGGCCAACATTATCTTGTATCCCTTATACAAATCATATGTATGTGACAACATTTGGACATGACTGACAAGGTTACTAAGGACATCAAAGGTGACATACAATACCCATTATGCCTGCCTAAGCTCTGACCTCATTGCAATCTGATTATATTCAATGTCTTTTGAATGTTTGAACGGATTATATCTGTCTAGATTTAATGTTCTATTTTAGTAACTCAACAATAACAGTTATTTAAATTAACTATGTGACTTCTTTGGAATTTGACGAGATAAAACTTCTTTGGAAAACTAATTTTTAACTCTTGTTCATATTTATACAAATCTAAAACTTTAGATTTCCTGAGGTAGGGAAAAAGGAAGATATGTTAGGAATTTAATGAATTTAATTGTCATTAAAATATTATAAGTGTCGAAAATTTAAACAAATTATTAATTTTAATTTTTTTCTTCGATAATAAAAACACGTGGCATATTAATTTACAATTCGTCATTTGAGAGTTCATTAAATTATTTTGCATAAAACATAAAATACTAATATTTAAAAATAGAATTTCTATAAGGTAATTCGCCCTTCTCACTCTCTCTCAATCGGTCTCAATCGCTCTCTCCCTTTTCTTCGACAAAAACGGTGCACATCTTCGTGACGTTCCGTAAAAAATTTACTCTCATGCACCTAAAGAAGTTAAACTTCAAAAAATGATTGTGTTACGTTGAAAGAAACATATCTAATAAGTCTTGTTAAATTTCTAGATGAGAAAACGGACATCCTAATATAAATTGTATTATGAATAGTTGAAAGTGGATCATTGTCTAAAGAGAAAGTGCGCTAATCTAGGCACAGACTTTCATCGCTTAAATACTATTATTGTAACACACGAACACATTCAAACTCTTTGATACAGGATAACCCACGAGAAAGTACTACTATTCAATTCGTACATCTGTGTATTTGAATTTACGCTCTACGGGAGATTTTTGTAATAAAAGGTACACAGGTACAGGTTATATTTACGTTCTAGACTTTTAAAGAACTCTTTTTTCTCTTTCGGTCGAACGGTGTTTACGCTGATGAAAAGAGACAAATTTTGTTTATATGTTCTTTAGGATTGGTCTTGGCTTGGTTCCTACACATTTTTTAACGCGTTTAAAAATTAAATTAAATAAAATTAAAAATAGCCTATTTTCTAGTACTATACTAAGTATGACGTCAACTTTATGTTATTATTGTATTTGTCGGAGCAATGGCGCTGATGATGTTATTCAATTATCATGACAATGGCTGCTGACATATAGGAGACATTAATAATAAAGATAATGATATTACAACAGACTATCACATAGTCTGTTAATTTGTAGATCTATTAATAACGGCAAATCAAATGAACCATAGAGCAGTTTTGAAATAATTTGACTTTGATGTAATAAAAATAAAATGACAATGAAAGCTGACATCAGCGCCATTGCTCCGACATATTTAATATACACGACCCCCGACAGAGTGAAGGTCGCTTCCAAATTCTTCAGTCTCTCGTCTTCGCTATATTAGATAGAAAATTCCACTGCACCTTTTCCAATAAACATTAAATACTAAATAGCGAGTATAGCAACAATATTTATTTTAACTTGCGCAACGCTCTGTGGCTGTGTAGTGTGTTTGCAACAAAACACGCCAAAATAAGCGTCTATCCAGGACTAGAATACTATCGACCTGTCAAAAACTAACAAAACAAAATTGTCGTATACTCGAACTATCGCAAAATACGTTCAAGCTAAATTCAGTTTTGGTTTCAGCAAATAATAATCAAAGGGGCCTCATAGCCTAGCGGTCTTATTAAGTGGCAGCTAGGTGAGGGGTACTGGGTTCGATTCCCGGTTCGAGGGCAAGTTTTAATTTAATTTAAATTTGTTCTCGGCCTTTGGGAGGGTTGTGCGGTACCGGGCGAGTGCTTAAACCGTACATGGAGGACACGGTGGAATTTCTAAAAAGACAAGCACGAATTATAAAAAAGTCCTATACTTGACGCTGGCTAATCCACAAATCGTGCCAGAGCCATTAAAAAAAATCAAGACATACCTAATTTATAAATTAATCCCTCCTTCAACTTCTTTCCGAAGAACTGCGAATAGTTTGACGCGCGCCATGTCATACCGGGCTGGTTGACACCGAAGATAACGTCATTGCTGATGAGACAAACGTCACTGTCGCATTTCCAGTCTGTGGTCATCTTCTGTTCGTCTATGATCACGCATTCACTGCAAAAAGAATTAATTTAAATATTTTGCGGAGGTTATAAGTACGTAGTAGTAGTGGGCCTCATAGCCTAGCGGTCTTATTAAGTGGCAGCTAGGTGAGGGGTACCGGGTTCGATTCCCGGTTCGACGGCAAGTTTTAATTTAATTTAAATTTGTTCTCGGCCTTTGGGAGGGTTGTGCGGTACCGGGCGAGTGCTTAAACCGTACATGGAGGACACGGTCGAATTTCTAAAGGCAATCACGAATTATACTTGACGCTGGCTAATGCAGAAACCATGCCAGAGCCATAAAAAAAAAATTACGTAGCATAGAGATGTTTGGGTGTGTAACTTAAAAACATTTCGCGCGCTTTTAACTGTTTTGACAACTTACATATAAGCTACTTTGTTTATGTGTATTTAAAAAAAACGTGTGTGTACTAATTTACACACGTTAGAAGTTATACTTTGGCGTAACAAGATAAAAAAAATATACATCGCGGTATTCGGGCCAGTCAGTGGTCCAGGATCCTCCCTTTAGATTGGAGGAAGAGTACACCATCCTCTCTTCACATATCGCTACAATCATTATCAGTACGATGACGTCATACCCTGAAACGCGCTATCGAAGTATTTCCCGGAGGGCAAATATAGTATATAAATCTCGATATTCAGTCCAGCCATTGGTCCAGGATTCTCCCATTAGGTTGAAGGAAAAGTACACCACCCTTCATCCACATGTAGCTACATTCAGTACGATGACGTCATACCCTGAAACGCGCTATCAAAGTATTTTTCCGTTGGGCATATAAATCATATTATATACATCTCGATATTAGGGTAACACTTAACAGTCGAGAATCCCCCCTTAGAAGGAAGGAACATCCTCCCCCCCAAACGGTAAGTTAAATTAAATAATAATACCAGTAAGAAACCAAAATTTAAACGCTTAAAGAATTACGCAATACGCATAGACAAGATATAATACGCCTGCATTGGTCGAAATGACACGACAATCGACATCTTGAATGAATGAATTATATGAGTAATTACTATTAATAGTATCAATAACAACTCTCCATTCAATTAACTAAGGGCGGCTATCAACGAGAATTTTGTTAAAATCTATATTTTTAAATGCTTCTTTTATTTCTGGTTTAATCTTCGAAAACATATTATGTATATCTTAAATCTTTAAGGGCAGTGAATAGCGTACGCAAGCGACATAGAAAAATCCATTGCACAGCCGTGATTCGAACTGATGACCTCAGGGTTCTGAGACGCATCCAACAGTGCTTAGAAAACTACATTAAAAGGCCGGCGAATCACTTGCGTTCTGGCTATTTGAGTATCTATGAGCGGCGCTATCACTTGCTTATCAAAAAAAAGTGTTCGAAGTTATAAATAATATATAGGCCGGCAACGCACTTGCCAGTGGCAACGCTTTAGTCAGTGGGAGTGTAATTGTGCAATAACTTAACAATAACCTCCTGCCCGTTTGCTTTTACATAAAAAAAAGATATTTTTTTTGGTTTTGTAACTACTTTTTCTTGAGTAGGGTTGTCTGGAAGAGATCGCTTATTAGCTATAAGCCTGCTTGCCGTTGCCTGCTTAATTTATGTTATCCGAATGTATATTAACATATGTAAAGCAACATAGTATAAATAAATTAATAATAAAATGATGATTAATTGTTTAGGTGTCGGCTACCGATGTCATATTGAGATCATCAGTGACGTCATGGATTGTAAATCAATCGATATAAATCCTATCATTGTCCTAATTAGCAAACATTCTGAAAATATATTTTTTAAATTAAATATATATTAGTAGCATTTATAATATATAGAATACACGCAATTCTTTAACTACATAGTAAAAATAATACTTATAAAATTAATAAACTGAAAATTCAAACAAGTTTGGTCACTGTGGCAGAATACCTTTAACGCTGGCAGCATTTCCTCGCTGTATTGCGATACATTTGAATATACTTTTTTTTACAAAACGTTAGAAGGCGTTTTCGTTTTAAAGGTCTGTTATCTATGTATTCTAACGTCCATCAAACTTAAATCTAGTTTCAAGAGCTGTCATAACGTTTTTTCTTTAAGTTTGACACATTTGACAGCGCTTAAGACGAGATTGTAACTAATGATTATTTTTTTATATAAAAGGGTGCAAACGGCCAGGAGCCTCATCTGATGTTAAGTGCCATGAACACTCACCAGGACTTTTAAGAATTAGTAAGCTCTAAGATTGGAATTTTTATTTTTTATATAAAATTAGTTTTAACAAAAATACTACAAACACCTCAGATCTAATCAAAATGTCCACTAAAAAGCACGCTTAAGAAACTACACAAATGTGTTTAAAATAGAACACGAAATCTTGCAAATTAGGACAACAGACCTTCCTATATGACATATAATCAAAAGGCAATAAAACATTATCATGGTCAATCATTGACATTGTTCAAACCGCCCACACCAGCTGAACCTTGAAATGCAGGTTATGTGTGAAATCAAACGCTGAACACCTGCAATTCGTGTTTAGAGATCGATCACATACATCTGTAGCGATACCCACAATCTTCAGGAACAAAACTGTACGATGACGTCATTCCCTGAAACGCGCTATCGAAGTATTTCCAGTTGGGCATATATACATCTCGATATTCGGGCCAGTCCAGGATCCTCCCTTTAGGTTGGAGGAACTGCATCTTTCTTCATACACTGTTCCTAAAGACATCTCTAGAAGAAAGTAGATTATCTTAATATATATATTTCTTGTGTGCGTGTGTATGTGACTGAACTCCTCCTAAACGACTGGACCGATTTTGATGAAATTTTTTGTGTGTGTTCAAGGGGATCTGGGAATGGTTTAGATTCACAAATCAGCCCGGCAGATGGCACTGCAGTCGGTACTTTCATACTTTGCTTAATATCCTAATCGCTTTTAATATCATGCAGGACAACGTCTGTGGGGTCCACTAGTTTCTTCTAGATTTTTGTCTAGAGTGGTCGCTCTAGAGTCTAGAGTCTAGACGTGGACTAAGTGCGCGGGCCGCGGACGATAAATTATAAAACGATGGTGAAGTATTCTGGTCATACTCTGCCCCACCACATAGACACCTATATAGTGGAACCCCTGGACTTTAATGACCTAGTCTTTAGGCATGAAGTAAAGGAAATCTTTGGGATTTTTTTGATCCAGAGTCGAGACTCGCCAATAACCAATTATGACTCCTAAACGGAGTTTAATGCAGTTTTAACGTAGCGCTGAATCTAGGGTAAGACAAAATCCTAGGTGTAAGGTACGGTTTTTGCCTTCTATACAATTATTACCCTGGCCGGTTGCCTTCTATACAATTAATACCCTGGCCGGTACTTCAAATAAGCTCCTTACTTCCTTAGAATTTCTTCGATATTTTTATGGAACAGTGCGCTAACGTCAGGAGTCACTATGATGTGATACCGCCCACGGCTACTCACATGGCCAGAAGTCCTGGCGTTGCCGACCCTATTAATCGATATGAAATAAAATCAGCTCAACACCCGTTTTAGGTCTATGCCTCAGATTTCTGTATCTATTTCATCATCATTTGTCTATCTAATAGGCAAGTAGGTGATCAGCCTCCTTTGCCGCCACGCCGTCGACTTTTTGGTTCTAAGGCAAGCATTTCCTCACGATATTTTCCTTCACCGTTCGAGCTAATTTTAAATTTGCACATAGAAAATCCATTGGTAGCCGGTCATCAGTGATGAGAGTCTCTCACTGACAGACTAGGTCAACACTGCTCTCTTCAAATTGGTATGGGTCAGATCAAATCCTAGACGTAACACCACACTGGCCGGGACTTCATACAATTTATTATGGGCAAATATATATAGGCATATTATGTTACTAGAAAACTTACTAAGAAATTATGTATTCAGTGGTTTGGTCACATAAACATACTTATGATGTCATATACCCTTATTCAAAGCACATATAAAATTACTATATTATGTTCGTGAGTCATTTTATTATTACGTTTGGTGATGTCAAAATTGCAGCTCCATGATATAAAAATTAATAGAATATATATAAGCGCTGACATACCTATATGTTTTTTTTACTTCAAGTAAGGGGGTTCCATAGACAGGGAACCTGGTTTCGCCGTAATATGATATTTTACTTTGCCTATCTTTTTAGTACATACCAACTTGTAGAACTATGGTATGCTACCTCATAGAGACTGTTTACCGGAATAAAAACCTTTGTAAAAAATATAACTATCCATTTTTCTCTTTATAAATACCTCGGAGTTCCAAGAATAAATAAAAATACTCGAAATGGTCCAGCCGTGTTCGAGTTATGAGCAACATTTGCGATTCATTTTATTAATAGCTAAAACGAGTTTATTTATTGTTAATTCCAACACGCAAATATATAGTAATAATAATTACAAATTGATAACTAGAAAAAAAAAAATTTTAAAAGGTTGGTCCCTGTAGCAGTAATGGCATTTCCACGCTGTATTGCGTATTTGTAATAAATTGACAATCTGACCGAGTGGCTTAATTTCTGCGAGACATGAAAGCTTCGAATAACGACGAAATGGCGCCGGCGCCGATCAAGATTTTATCGCGAAGACCAAAATTAAAGTTATGGTTAAATTAAATGGTTTGTTAGGCCTGAATATAATTCGAAAAACCTTTTTTGAAGTTATACTTCTTTTGGCGCGTTAGTGAAAAATCATGAGAGTCAATTTACTTACTATTTAATTACTACTACTTTTTTACGATGCGCGCGCACACCGTCACAAAAAACCGACACCCTAAAGTTAGCAATATAGTATAGTCAACATTTTAAAATAAAAAATGCCAATTTCTTTAATTATGTACAAATATTTTAAATGTGATATTTAAATAAACTTTATTTAACTAGATAATGCGTTATTATAAAACTTTCAATGTATTAAGTACCTTTTTTCTATTGTTAGTGTAGTTTTTTCTACAAACGTAGAATAAGGCGAAAGATAAAGTTTTTAAAAAGATTTTTATCTTGTTACGCCAAAGAAGTATAATTTCTAACGCGTGTACATAAGTACACACATATGTTTTTTTTATTGTTATATTTTGTTTTTTGTTTATTCATTAATAGAGTGATTCATGTATGTCAAAAATGTTTTAGATTTCAGCTATAACAAATTACTAGACCAGTGTTAACGTGAGGCCCACGCGTCACACCGGTAATTTAAAAAAAAGGCTATTTAAAAATGTATTTAAATTATTTGGAATTTAAATTTCACTTTTAAAAATTTACCTACTCTTTTTTTATAGAACAGCAAACGTGCAGGAGGCTCATCTGATGTTAAGTGATACCGCCGCCCATGGACACTATCAATGCCAGAGGGCTCGCGAGTGCGTTGCCAGCCTTTTAAGAATTGATACGCTTATTTCTTGTAGGGCCGTACTGTTTCGTTAACAATTTCCTAGTAATTTCTTCCCTGAAGTTTATTAAGTGAACAATTATATTAATAGTCAAATAATAATAATAAATAAATAAAAAGCCTTTTTATTTCTTGCAAAAGAACAGAGTAAAGTTAATACTATTTTAACAAATTATTTTTAAGAAAGTAAATTAAACAATTATGTATTATTATTATTATTATTTTTTCCTAATTTTTGTATCTATTTCCCAATTATTATTTTGCAAGAACCCTTCCGCAGGTGTAGGCCTCCTCCAGGGATCTCCATGTATCTCGATTCTGGGTGAGCTGCATCCAGCTCGAGCCAGCCGTTTGAGCAATGTCGTCCGCCCATCTCGTGAGCGGTCTTCCTCTGTTTCGTTTCCCATTAGGGCCACCCCACCTGGTCACCCTTATGGTCCATCGATCGTCAGAGAGTCTTGCTACATGACCTGCCCATCTCCATTTAAGCTTTAGAGCATAGTTTAGGGCATCAGTAGCTTTAGTAACGCTTCTTATTTTTGAGTGTCTTATTTTATAAATTTTTCTAATGTTAAGCATGCTCCGTTCG